ACAATATTGTTGAAATCAATCGCTATTGAAGAATTATTACAAGTATTTATTGAGGTAAAGAATGTCCTGGAGACTTCTTCAGAATTGCTTGTATCAATAAGATATTGATTAATGAGATGGTCATCATTATTATTATTATTACTATCTCGATTATCTTTTTGTTTGATATTAGTGACGAATTGATTATATTGTTTTGTAAAGCTCTTGTTGTCGAGATTGCTGTATTTAATATAGTAATTCGTTTTAAGTCGGTCTTTCTCTTTTTATGTATGTTTATAGTATCTATAGTCTTTCTTCTTACAACCAGAAAAATAACAATCGTCCTTACCCTTATCAACTAATATAAAGAAGGATTATCGATTGGTGTATTTATTATAAGGTTTCCGAGAGGAAGAGTCTGAAGATATACTATTATAGAAACGTCGATCTGTAAGGAATGTTTCAGATGAAGGGTATGGTTTCGGAAATGCTTTTCGATAAAAGTCGATAGTTTGTTTAATCTGATTAATAAACTCTGCAATAATTAGATAAGGATTGCATATCGCAGAATAGTACTCCGGAACATCATTATATGTAGACAAAATCTTAATGTAATACGATTGAGGATCGCGTATTGTCCTGGGAATAGTATGCTAAAGAAAGCGTAAATCTGTGATCATTGTATTAACACTTCCTGAAATTCTATAGATAGGTTTTTCTTAATGTAATCCTTGAAAGTAATATTATTCCACTTGAGAAGCATATTCTATTAATATTCAGATCCTTCGAAATTGTTGATCATCATATCACACAAGCCTTAATACGAATCAGGAAGACTACTAAGATTTGCCTGATAGTAGTCTCTAACCATACCTACAAACATAATCGAAAAGGCTATCATAATTATCTCTATTAGTATAAATACCCTATAACAATGCTCCCCGAATATAAAGATCTTCAAATCAAAAGAGTCATTAATATCCTTATATCTATCATCATCCCTATAGATTTTCGAAAGATTAATAAGACAATAGCTCTAATTACATTGATCATCATCCTTACAATTGGAATGATCAGAATGATCCATATCCCTATTATCTCTACCACCGCCTCTACTGCCATTACCACCACCTCTACCATTATTACTACCTCGACCACTACCCCAATCGTCATTATCATCCGGATCATCACCATCACTAGGTGATCCTGCAGAAGTATCAACCGATGGAATTCTAAAGCCTGGTTCTGATACTGGTAAAGATGCATATGGGACTCGTACATCCCCAGATTGGAATGGAGCTGGTTCTCCATATATATCAAGAGGAATAATCGAATCACTTGTAATTTTGCTGGGTTTTGGCAAAGTTAGGTAACCAGCTGGAGTATTATTCTGAGGTTTAATGAAAGGTTCGGCTTGTGGTCTTGGATCGAGTTTGATAGAAAGATGGACCTATTTCGTAGATACGAATAGTTGTACCTCATTAATCTGGTATTCCAGAAACTGATCCGCAGTCTAATCGTAATACTCTTTGCAAAGAAATATTTCTATTAAAGCATTATCGAGATTTGTATTCATATTGACATAAACTCTATAATATCGCAAAACCTTATAAAAGTCATATAATATCAACTTATCAATGCTCCTGAGTAAGGCTTATCAAATAAGCTTGAAATCAAATATGATTATATTCTAAAGAGATACATCAGTAATCCTTATATTCGAATACACAGCTATTCGAAAAAAAAAGTATTTATCAATCTGATACTTTATCCCCATCTTGAATATATATTCTTTATAGAATTACCTAGCTTTATTGAGATCTTTTGAAAAGAAATAGTTTTGAGATTCTCCTTTAAACTTCAAATCCTTAATAGTTTCCTAAGTTTTTCTTTTTTCAATTATTACTTTGTTAGGAATATATAGATTGAAAAGAGCAGAAGGATAAGAAAGAGTATTGGTCATATCTTCATAGAAAGAAGTCTTGAACTCCTATTGCAAAGAATCGATATCATCAATTATCGTATTGATAAATCCTTCTATACCGGTGAATTGATTGGATAAAACAGGTTTCTTACCAGCATCGAGTTTCTTGCTAGTTTACTTAAAGCTAGTGCTAGTGTTTGTTTGGAATGTTATAATACTGACAACAGAAAATAAAAGAAATAAAAATAAGAAGGTATTTCGAATAAATAAATTAAGTAATTTGTGATATCACTAATTAGTATTAGTTCAATAATGAGATCAGGAATACAGGAGACATGATTCCCACTATCATTAGTAGGCCCCTAAATATCTATATTGTATTTTGTCTAAAGAGCTAGCTAATAAGGGGAAATAGTAGACCTTATATAAGCACTACTGAAAGAGCTAGTCTCCTTCGCATTCGCCTAAATACCTTTGATACAGTAGCCATTGTATTGAAGTCATTCTTTTGAAGTGAATTCCCTTGTTCACACATGAATACTCCCAGAGGTGATCCCGTGACACTTTCTATATATTTCATAAAATACTATATAAAGTCTTCCTTTTCTTTTCTTTACCAAAAACATTATATTACAATAATTTCTCTATAATATATATAAGAAACTACTCTATAATCCTATCACTTTCTACTCTTTACAATATATTAAAACAAAAATAAATTAAATAAATAAGAATAATAAGAATAATAAGAATAATAAGAATAATAAGAATAATAAGAATAATATGAATAATATGAAATAACAGAAAATATTAGGCGCTCCGAAACACTGGCGACCTAGCTCGCCCCGAATTCTTGCTTGTTTTTTCTTCTCTATTTTAGATTACGATTGCTGTCTATATAAAATTAATATCTCTTAGGTCGTTTGAATGTTCCAGTTGTACTCTCATTGATTTAGGTATATTCATTGTCTCTAAACAATTCGATATCTTGAACGGATTCATTGTCCCAAGCAATTATAATATAACGTTGAGGGTCGTTGATGATTTATATCTCGTTCATGCACTGCCTACTCATAGCTCAAACCTCGTGCCGTTGCGGATTTGATTTCATATTGAATTGTAGCCATGATGTCAGTTCAGCATTACTAGATAATCGTCAACGTTGTATTTTTTATTGTATCATATTGCTAATGCTAAAAACGCTTTTGTATTTATTACTCATGCCTCGCTCTTGGGCAATGTAGCAACCTTTTCCTGGAACAACTTCTCTGCCTTAGCCCAGACTGGAGTATTTCTCCAATCTTTCAAAGACAACAGACTTGGTAATAAGTCCTTGCTGAATGCCTCACTTGCCTCTCTTGGCAATAAACTTGGCAAGTGATCAATACTGATGACACTTAATCTTGGTTCTCCCTTGACCTCAACTGGAACAGTTGGCTCTGAAAATGTGGTTGCAACAGTATAGATTGGAATTGGGTTGTTGGGGTTGGTGGTATCAGCACTGACATCGCAGACGACTGATAATTTGCGGTTTGGGGTATCGAGGCTTTGCATGTCGACGAAGTTTGGAATCTTGGACATGAGGTATATGCAGTTAATGAAGATGTCACTCTCAACAATCTCTGGGAATGGCCCTCCCTTGGCGGTCTCAGCCATATCCCACTTCAACACATTCTCAGTTGGCACACCGGCTCTCAAGCAGAGATCAACTGCTCCACTTCCACATCTGCCTAATGCACCGATAACCAAAACTCGTGGTGCCTTGCCAGTCTTTTCTTGTCCAGCTGCGATTGCCTTCTTAACATCTACAATCAATTCATCCTCGTTGGGGTAGCTCGATACGCTTGGGAAAGGCTCGGATGCCGGGTGGGTGAGTTGCCATGCCCAGTTTTCGAGTGCCAATGCTGCACCAGCAAATCCAGCATGGTATCCAAAGGCTGCAACTCTTCTGCCTCTGTCGTCTGTCAAGAATTCGAGATCTAAGAGAGTTCCACCTCCACGAGGAAATCGTGATAGAACGGTGTCCCAACCTCCCTGTTGTTTATAACAATGTGCGAATTGTACGTGTACATGCTCAAGAGGAACTTATAGATAACTGTTAGACGCATCCATTGATATAAAATCAAGCAGAAACTTACAGTCTTCGACGGGCAGTTCCTTCAATCCAATGATAATATGATCCTTTGGTGCTTGTCTCCATGTGTTTTCTGGCACAAGTGTAGCACCAACTTTCTCAAACTCTTCGTCATCGAATATACGCTCTGGGCTGCGCTCAACGTTGATTGTGTATCCAGCATCGATGAGAGCTTTGGCGGTAGTGGGGGTAAGAGCTGATCGATGCTCAAGGGCCTTGCCCACTGATGATCGCATTAGTAATTTACAGAGCATTATGCCATTGATTACTTACACTCAGAACGTAGGTGAAGAGTAGTTCCAGACATTATGAAATAATTGATTTGTGATTTGAATGTTAATTGAAGTTTTCGAGTTTATTCACAACTTCAAGTTTTGTCTGGTGAGGGGGATACTTTTCTGCCCCATTGAGTCATCCAATTATCCATGTCACCGCCTCCGGGATCGCACCATCCATCAAACTTCACTTCACTGCTCCGAGCCCCCACATTTTATAGTTGAAGAGCAATCATCAAACATCGTCGACACCAAAACATGTCTCTGGAGCTGAATGATTACCTACTGTAGCTCCTGAGTTAAGACAACGCAACAATTGTTCAATTGAGAATATTCCATGATCTCCTTATATTATAGGCAAAGATTCAAGGAAATGAGATTAGCCAACCTTCATGAAGAGTATGAGACATTCAATACTCTCTATTCAATTCAAGGAAGTCGGTGATGTCTCATTTATATATAGTGAATCCGTGTTGCTCCCAAAGAATCTCTCTCAATATGGTAGTCTCTTGTGGACAGCAAGTTTGTAGTCTGCTTGTGCGGTATGGCGTGTAGTCAATTACTCTATTGATAAAGTTTGCTTTTCGACACACCACCTCGCTGTTTTGTTGATTTTTGGATAGTATCAAACTTTCGTGTTTACATTATTTAAAAGTACGCTCTCATAAATCCAATCCGTATCGCAGTCATGTCGGCCAAAGATGTACGAACTCATATCATGCTGGATCTTGAGATAGCCGCACACCCATTGAAACACAATCCTGCGATCATCCAGATCGGCGCTATTCATTTTGATATCGAAACCGGCGAGGTCTTGAAGACTTTCTCCATAGACATCAACTTGGAATCTTGTATTCAATCGGGCTTAATCACTGATTCAGATACACTTCAGTGGCTTGAGAAAAACATTCCGGATACATTGTCTGCTAGCCAAAACAGCAAAGTAGCACTCCAAATTGCTCTCAAAAGACTCACCACCTGGCTCTCCAGTTGCCACAAGTCTAATCAAGTTAGCATCAAACCAACTATCCAGCTGCGAGATTCAACCCGACCGACCTTCAAGTAATGATCTGGGCATATGGTAGCACACAGGATTGCCGGTGGATGGAAAGTGCCTACAAAGCAGCGGATTTGAGAAAGCCGTGGATGTACTATAACGATCTCTGTGTTCGAACTTACTGCGAAGCAACTTTCTCAATTACAGGAAGGAATATCCGACGTGAGGTGGACAAATCTTTCCTCGGCAAAAAGCACGATGCTATCGATGACTGCAAGCATCAGATACTCTACCTGACCAAGTGTCGTGACGCACTTCGAGGACTTCAAGACTCTGCCATTGCTCCAGTTCCTGTTGGGCCGATTTCGGAATCTTCAGTGAAACGACCCAGGACTGTATTGGACGACAATCGTTCCAGGATGGGTTTAGACTAGCAGCGAACTTCTGGCGAACCAGCCAGACCATCATCAACGCCTACAGGAAGTGGCCGACATTGGATGACACTTGGCTGGAATGAGTTCGACTTCCAACATTGCCATGCGGAATCTCCAGCTGATAGACTTCTCACAGAGGTACATATCCTTTGCCGGGATTGATACATTTCTCCTCGAGGGGAAGTAAGTAGTTACATATGAGTTGTTGGAACGAATATCGTCTCATGGAGACTATCCATTGTCATCCATTGGGTCCAATAAATGATGGGGGTTTATCATGGAGCTAGCTAGAACGATTCTAATGAAGTTGCAATACATCCTTCTAGCACGCATCGTCATGTGCCATTTGAATTTGAAACTTATCGTTGTGAGACAATTTGATTCGTTTTTCTTTCTATATTCTCAGTGATTTCGCTATTGTAAATAAAGTAACTCACACCTTCCTTACTTTGCCAAATTTACATCTCGCTGCTGATTTACATTTCACATGGGATAATTAGCCAGGGCTCGAATTCGAATCCTTGGGACGCCTACCACTCTCCTCCACAACTCTCTCCACAACTCTCTCCACAACTCTCTCCACAACTCTCTCCACAACTCTCTCCACAACTCTCTCCACAACTCTCTCCACAACTCTCTCCACAACTCTCTCCACAACTCTCTCCACCTCGTCAGATCTACTACCTTCAACTCTTCCGCCCAAAGTACCCTGCCCAACTTCGTTTCGTTGTTACTCTCTCATTCGCAGCCCTCTCGCTCTCATGTCAGACCTCAAAGCTCTATCTCCTTCATCACCGTCGATGCCTCCTCGCGACTCCCCTCAATAGCCCTCTTCTAGTACTCACATTCTCAGGACCAGCTAGCTAATGGCCCCTACGATCCAGATTCTAGCGGTATAGACCCCGAATATCTTCTGAATTGTTGTCAAACGGCGTCTCGGCGCCAATCGGATATTGAAGGAGAGGGAGAAGAAAATGCTTAGTGGGGAAGACTATCGACTTTTGGAGGTCAACCCAGATACCAAACCACGCTTGCAGTCAGAGAACTCGGAAAACACCAAGGCAAGCATCTCCTACATCAGGCAGAAGTTTATCGGGCAAACTTACTACACTTTGGTCTTCGTTCACTTAATTAGGTGTAGCTAACACATGGCAGATACTGTGATCACAGTGGCTTGAGGGAATGGCGCACGGCTATCCTGAAACTGAGTTGTACTAAAGGGAGGGTAATGTCTTTTCTCCGTTGGATCTGTCTAACATGTCTGACCACGAATCGGAACAGGTGAAAGCGGAAGTCTGTCAATCAATACTGGTGGGATTTTTAAATGCTAATTCGATGGATGAACGATGGCTGTGTGGTAGACGGAAATGATGTATCGGAGTTTTTTTTAGAATACTGTATTCTCCTTCCTTTGTTGGACTTCTAATATATGCTGACTGTGGACTAAAATTACATCAATACCATCTTGAAGGTCGACTTTGACCTTGACAGTATGTCAAGACCAAAGAAGCAGATGGCACTAGAAAACTTGAGCGCCTCCCCCGCCCCCCGCCCCAGTACTTGGGAAAGACTACGATGACGAGAGCAATGCTTGCGATAGTCCTGAAATGATGGAGATAAGCTCTTTGGCGACGATGATCAGGATGCTTGCGACAATTGCGATCACTCCGATGAACACATGAACATGGACGCTAGCACGGACAGCGGTTACTGCACTGAGGGAACAGATTATCTTATGAGCAAGGACAACTGCACCACGTCATCTCTGGTTCTAGATCGTCCGGCTAACTGACTGGTTATAACCAAAACCAACAACACTCAAAAAAGCATCAAGGTTAAAAGTTTTCACTTTCTCGGTTCATGCAAGTTCTAGACAAAACAATTCTGGGGACAAATATCCATACGTGCCAGTTTAGACAAGAGCCAATGTTGAAAGAAAACAGGAGACCGGTAATACAACAATTAGTTCCCCAGGAATTAAAAACCAATGATTCAGTGGACGCAAATGGCCATCGTCTAAACCGCATTGAAGAGAGGCTGGAAGGGCTGTAAAACCTATAAGAAATTCACATAAAAACAAACGACAGAGTGGGTATAGAACACGTGTTGTCAAAAGGTAGGGGAGTGAAGCAAGTGAGCCTAAACGTATGTCCGCCCATGAACACGCAAAGATGAAACTATCTTTCTTTGTGAGCAGCCATTTCATGTACAACAGCCGCTGCAAAGCCATTCCAAGCCCAAAGCACGCGAAACTGTGATCCAGGAAGCAAACGAAAACTCGCTACTCGGTCTATATTAAAACATGCAACGACACTAACCCGATTGCCAGTTGAAATCAGGTGTAGCCTGGTTGAACAGTTGGTCGAAGTGCACTCCGCCCCAACGAGCGCTTTCAAAGGCGAATTTCCTCGGCAACTCCAACACTCTTCCAGCGCTAGATTCTCACAAGTCGTATTGAACAATGCCTTTTGCGGGTAGGGCACAAGATACACTTGTGCGTCTCTCCTGAGACAGGAATGTCAATCGGCGACGACCCAGGCACCGTACCATTTTCCACCCAACTTTGTAGCTGGCGGAAGATTGCTGTTGGGTCGCCACCAGCAGCGCCGTAGCAGTGCTTTTTGCCTGGAACTTCGAAGTAGCGGTAGAAATCGTGTATGTCTGGCGAGATTCCGGCGACGGATTTGTGATATTGCTCAGTGGATTTATAGGTGATGATTTCGTCACACTGTTTCATGACCGAGTTAGTCACTGTCATGACAAAAAGGGGTAGATTTCTGTCCTAATAGGATACAAGTCTCCTGACTTACCAAGCCGTGATAGGTGATTAACTTGCCTCTAGCATCGCGGAATTTGGTCAAGTCCGGGATCCGATGTGTCTGCGATAGACTTGTATTGTTGGCTGGCGAAACGAGCAAGACGATTGTTTTCATCACGGGAGAGTTTAGTCAAATCCTTCTCTGGGTCCTTGGCTGCAAACAACTGGAGCCACTGCTGGCCTAAAGGCTGGGGAGAACCAACGTAGCCCTTTCCAGTGCACTTAGTCTTCGCGAGCGATGATACCATCCACCACGCAGTCCAATCCATCGCAGGTCACAATGGCCCTCGTCGGTGATAGCGTCCAGTTCGCAATTGTAGGGAAATTGGCCTAATTCATTCATAATCTGTTGCGGCCATTACATGTAGGGGAAGAGCTCGCTTCAGTAGAGCTCAGGTGCCCCAGCCGCGATGCCTTCGTATGCGTCGGGATACGATTGAGCCAATATCGTGCCCCCTCGGCCACTCCCCGAACAACCGATAAAATACGAGTATTCAGGCCTTTTACCATAGAAGCTCTGGATAAGCGAGTTGCGGATGAGAGACTATGATGGCTGTGAGAAACTTGCTTAAAAAGGTACGAGTTGCCATGGACGTGACTGGGGAGAAATCTATACATCGTCGTGCAAAGCCACATGCGGGAAGTTCTGCAGATTGTGCAAATTGACGTTTCCGGGATTGACAAGAGCGCAAGGTCTCGCATTCATCATACTGCCATCCTCAGTCTCAAGTCCTCAATCAGTTGTGATAGTGGTAAGTCCTTTGGCAAGGCCGCTTTGAACGCGTTAGTGGTCAATGGGACCCGGCCCAGCCACCGCCGCCGACAGCTTGGAGACAGCCATTCAAGTTGTCGGTGGGGAGCCAGCCTTCGATCATGATGTTGTCATTTTGCCCGGGATGGGTATAGGTGATAGTAGTGTTACAGAAACTTGTGTTTGGTCGCTCTACTGTAGGCGCACCCGACCTCCAAAAACTAGCAACAGATGCATTAAAGTATGTTACTAGATTGGCTTCTAGGACCAAGATCTCGCTAACAGGAGACGAGGGGCTAAAAGTAGACGGGGTGCAGGTTTGAGCAAGAGAGAATGCCATTTTGAGGTGACCTTAAGCGGAAATAAGATCGATAGGGTTCTCCGTAATACTGAAATAGGTGTATGATTTTAGTTTGTGATCTAAAATCGGACATTCTGAAAGACCGAGTTGACCATTTATTATACACGGTGATGATAAATTTGAATTAATACAGAAAAAGGACTGATAATTATATCAATTAGGAGTTAATTCTTTCTTCTCACAATTTCAATAAATTAAAACAAATGAATAATATAAAAAGGCCATTTTAATAACAATAGTAGTAGGGAAAGAATTGGAAATTACAATTTTTTGATGTTCTGTTTAAACATTTGAGCTACTGCTGTCTGTCTTTGTGCTTAGGATTACGGAAAACTGGTTTTCTCCGAGACCGAACAACAGTGGACTGCTGGAATCGATTTTTTCTTTCTGTGGTTCACTCGATATTTTAGATCAGTAATCTGAATTCAAAATTTGCTTGGCTAGGCAGAAGTGGGGAGCAGAATGAGGCTCAAGACCTGATTGATCTCTAGTGGCTTGACTGGCAACGCAGATCACGTCACACACGTTGCAAGGAATCTCAACAATCTTTCACCATACTCGAATGGAAAACTAGAACAAGACCTACTGTAGGTGAATGTAATTGTCGCATTGCCTCATTGCAGATTTCATCGTCTTAGAGACTCCCGGCTTTACAAACACTAGACGGGGAGAGGTTCTTAGATTGTCGATTAGCATTTTGAAATGCATGAATCATGCTGTTGGCGACTTCCGTCTGGTTCTGTAGTCATCTCATCTCCAGTTGCAACGATGCATGTATAGTTCATCCCTTTTAAGAGTGCACGTCTCCCGTCGACTCCGGTCGGCTTTATCTCCGTGGGCTCTCCTAGCGAAGGATGGAATTTTCTCGTTAATTGAATGCTGTATAAGAGAACGGCGAGGAAGACAACCAAATCATCTCTGAGTAGCTCGACTTGCATTCATTTCCATCTTACTCTATCCAACATAAGTCACTAGCCATGTCTATCACGTCGTTCTTGATGCTCATGCTCCCTGCGGCAAGCAATGCTCTGTATAATTTCACTCCAGAGAATGCGTCAACCTTTTATGATGTAAGTACATGTCCTTTGTTTATCCTCGCAGTTCTGTCCTTTGTAGAAAACAAGCTGAGAGTCCACTGGCCGCCATGCCAAAAACTGACAATTGTTATCAGGCGGAACTACCAACCCAATATTCCTTGCCCGAATCTCAGCTTGTCACATCTTCCGTTAATTCATTCTGGTCCACTCACTTCTTGACCTCGGCCAACTCGACCGAGTACGTTCTCTTGTCGCAGGGCTTCGTACTTCCCTCCGGCACTGTTATAGTGAGGACCTCTCTCCTGGACGCCAGCAACCCAGAAAACTACTGGCAGAGCACAAAAAAACGTCCCTCTTCAGAATAACTCAACGAACAAGAACGGAAAACTCAGCATCAAAGCACCTGGCTTTGAGTTTTCGAGCAACTCTAATGATAGTAATTCCACCATGGTCTCGAGTGATTCGACTGATCACTATGAGTATAACCTTACCGCGAAAGCAACAACTCGGGTCCTTCTGAATGCTGGAACGGGTTACTTCTCATGGGGAAACGGCAAAAACTTCGCAGTGGTCTCTTCCGAGCTGCCAGACTTCAGGCACGTTGACTCTAGGCGACCAGATCCTCCAGGTCGACGAGGAACGCTCGATGACCTGGTACGATCGTCAGTTCGGATTCGGCGGAATCGACAGCGAATTTACTTGGTTTGGGGTTCATTTCCCAGGTCAGAAGTCAAGGCCAGCATTTGGCTCTCCGACAATGAGGACCCAGCACAGCATTTACAATTTGCAACAGTTCGTACCGACCACGGTTTGGAAATAGTCCGCTTCAACGTAACAATCGAGCCGGAGAACACGTGGACCTCTTCGAAGTCCAATTACACCTACCAAACAAGATGGTTCCTGACATCAAGAGCGTCCGTAACGACCAAGATTTACGCAGAGAACTCGATCTTCTCATCATCACCCTTTACAACTGTAAAGGGACGGTTCTTTGGTCAGGAGGACTGGCTTCGCTCTTCTGGATATCTCGCCTCCAACAAGCTTACAAGGGGGCAATGCCGTATTCTAAACAACAAAATGATGGGAACTGTCCAAGGCCCTGGGGTAAAAGCGAGACCGGTTGTAGACATGCGTTTTGAGCCCTTTCGCAAGTCAATCGCTGAAGAAATGAGGGAGAATGGTTTTATGAAGCTCTGTAACAAGTATACTAACCGCCCGTTTAGTTCGAGGCTTGTATTAACATCAAGGAAGTGTACATAAATGAATTTTTGTATTAAATAGAAAAAGAGATGAATTTGTATTCTACAAAACACAATCTAAATATAAGTGTTGAAATGAAATCTCTTTGATAATCCTACTATATTTATGATATTTAATAATAAAAAATGACAATTGTAATGTTATTGTCAGAAATGAACAGCAAGTTGTACATGAAGACTAGGTAGTATATATTATAGTTGAATCTATAGATATAGTAAGATCAAAGAGAAAACTCTTCTACAGAGATAAGTTATATTACACCGCTTTTGTTATGTCATCAATAGAATCATTCTGCCCATACAAACTGATCCTGGCTAGCGAAGGCGGTATAACATACCTCCATAGTAGTGCTAGAGGGCTTGGAACCATACTCCCGTCCATATCACATCCTATATGAGGTCCAGATTTGGAGGATTTAACACCATGGACGATGCTCATTCACTACCGCACTACAGGCAAATTAGATCAGGAGCTAGGGGTCAGGAGCTGCCATCTTCGATGAACACTGTCGATGTAATGCTTCTCCAAATTGATCCTAGAAGTTTAAAAGACCAAACTGAAGTTGAAAGTACACCATCATCCTAGATTGTGTGCATTTGAGCTAGAGGTGGAAATGTCGAGTCGGGTGAGTGGATATCTAGAATCTTCTTTATATCTATCCTTGTATGTAAGATGTGCTTGTTATTTGAGGAGAATTACATGGCACATATCCCAGCTGCCTGCTGTACAAAGAAACGTTGAAACCTGTGAAGGATAGATTCCTATCTAGGTTTAAAATTTGGTCAAGTAGGGCCCAAAGTCATATTGATTGTTGAATGATTTGATTGCATCCGAAAATAAGAGAGAATTCCCTGATTGAATAGGGAGCGTTTGCAATGGCAGCGAAATGCCACGCCCCTTACCATATCGGATATCGCTCTATGTATATACCGTGCCGCAATCGAGGACGTGGCGCTATTTGCTTTTTTCGACCACACTTACCACTACCACAGTACTGTAGGGCACCGTACAGGCTTTCAAGCACTAAATTATCAGGCTTCCAGGGCTTCGGTCGCAATATATTCAATTGAATCATTATACTCGACTACCACCATGATAGTTAATTATTAATACATTAGCTAGTCAGGAGCGCGGTGCAATTAGGTAGTCGTGTAACCTAGCATTCAATTAATTAATGATCGATTGTGGTTGGTCGATTTGACTGATTGAAGTGCCACCGTGACATTTCACTAGCTAACAGGGGCAGTGGTAATACAGCCGAGCGTGACACCTTTAAATAGTAGTGGTACAGTGGGTGGTGGAGGTTTTTTGGCCGTCGTTAAGTTTAGTGTACTTTTTCTGCTAAGCCGACCTAGGTAATGACGACCAAACGAATTGATGTCCCGAACCCCAAGGTGTTCCGCGATGCCCAGGAAATGAAATCGTGATAGGTTAGTACTCTCAACGACGAATGGGCAGAACCTCCGAATTATACTTTTGTCTACCCATCTGGAATGCAGAGGGTTTCAACAGAAACCCTCTTAATATTGAAATTGCGAATGATGTATACAGCTCTACCATTAATAACCATTACACTCCTCGCATGCAATGTCTAAGTCAATATTAAATTCGTGCCTAACTCATAACTTGACAACCCCAAGCCAATTTATTTACCAGAACTTTCAAGGGTAACCTCTATAGGCCTTCAATTTGGCGTCTTTAAATTGTTATAAAAATATCGTTGTTGCAGTGTGCCTATAGTAGCTAGCTACATATCTGTAACCTTACCAACAGAAAAATCAGACACCTTGTGGGGGTTCATAAAAAACAAAACTTTTACAAGTCTTCAGCAGATATTGGTATCGCCTTATCAGAATCTGACACCAAAACCCTCCATTTTACGTTTTCATCCTCACTGTGTCTAGGACTGATTGTGACATTGATATCCTCATCTGGTGCAGCTGTTGTCTCCCAAAGAGCGGCCTTGTTGGAAGTGATGTGATCCCATTTTCCGTTAACAGGTGCGACGTCAAACCGTAGAATTAACAGAGCAGTAAATGCCAAAATTTCGGTGGCTGCAAAGTGACGACCAGGACAAAGGGTTGTTCCGCCACCAAAACCACGAAAGGCAATCGGGTTGTGACGTTTGTTCTCAGGTAAGAAGCGCAGGTGATTGAACGCTCCAACATCGGGACCCCATGCAGACTTGCTGGTGTGCTGAACGGGGCCTGGGATCAGCAAAGTATTTCCCTTCTTGAGAAGATACTTGCCGTCGAGCAAGAGATCTTTCATGACCATCCTGGTTGACATACCGATGGTGTGAACTCGAAGCACCTCTTGCAATGTGGACAATAATATTGGACAATCGACTTTCACTCGTGTCATATCGATAGTGCGAATTGTGATGATTTTGCCGTTCTTCGTAGTAGTAGCCTCGTCGAGAACCTGGGAAATCTCCTTTCGGCAATCTGCCAATATTGATGGGTCGGCATATACGTGGTACACCATCCAGAAAGCACTAGGTGATGTGTTGGAAAGCAGCCCAATCGTATTTCCAACCTCAAATCTTGCAATATCCTCAACAGGCTGTTTATGTTCCGTACTATGATTGAAACGAGCTTTCATGAGAGCGGATGCCTCGTTATGACCGCCATTTTCAAAGTATTTGTTAAAAGCTCTGGTCATGTATTCACGAGCTTGATAGCACTCTCGGGCTAGTATCGATGGGAATAGATTCATAAGGAGAATAATAACCCCAGGCTGGAACTTCCTGGATAAAGTTAGCGACTAGACTAGACATGTGCGGATGCAAAGTTTCTCCTCACCAGAAACCATCTGCAACAGCAGGATCTTTGAACGGGTTTTGGGGTCCATAAACTGAGTCGGTCGTAGCTATTGCAATTTCGCGCTTGATAAAGTCGAAAAGCGATACAACAAGTTTTCCTTTAATTCCATCGATTGAAGCAGTAACATTCTGAGCCATGATACGATTCATCGCATCAAGTTCAAGCCCTGGTGAAAGCGGCTTGTGAATCGTTTTGTAGAATGTCATCGAATAACCCCAGTCGCCCTCTTCTCCGTTGGTATTCGTATTGAGAATGTCGTTCGCAATCTTGCTTGATCCGCAGACACTCATGGCTCCCATAGCTTCCAGAGGAGGGAATGCCAAGTCTTTGTATTGACGCTGAACGATAGGAATCAGCGACATGGAATTGACAACATAGAGTCTGGCTCCTGGTATCCGAAGAGTGTAGATCGGTAAATCATGTTTGTTTCTGTAGTTGGAGGTCAGAGACAGGTTCACAGATACAGTGTTATCTTCGCCACCAAGATTCTAAACCAAATACGAAAGTCTTCAACGCACCTTAACTCAATATAAAATTTAGTTTTTTTTTTTTTCCGCGAGAGTTGGATCATTGTATCGATAAACGGAAGAGATGTTGAAATTAGTGGAGGCTCACTTTCGTCTTGGGTGTAATGAAGGAGAGCATGGAGAAAGCCATAAACGGCAATCACGCCTGTAGCAACAATAGCAAGAGTGCTAGGCATGTCTGATATCTTCACTTTCTGAAGCAGCGAATGAATAAACGAGCTGGCGGCAGATGGAATAAAGATGTTGTTAGAGAACTTGTTCAGCTATTATCACTGTAGATGAGAAGATTTGCCAAAAAGCTTGATTTGCTTTTGCAAGAGCACTTACTGCGCTGTATTACAGGTTGTCTGAACGGAAAGATGCATTCCCGCACTCTCCAGCAAATTGAATTCAAAAAAATTCACCCGCTGCGCCTTTCGCGTCATTTGCAACCTGCCTAGCCGAGCCAAATAGTCAGAGTGGTATTGCTTGATTAGTTCGGTTTTCTTTACAGGTTGAATTCGGGGCTATGGAAGATTATAGTCTCAATGTTGTAGTGACATTTATGTGCCACACATTTGCATGCATTAGGTAGTGTACACCACCCTTACCGAGTATTTAAAGGGGGCACAGCAATAATGGCCATTATTGGTGTGTTAGGCCTTCCCAGCCATTGGTTGTATTCAACGGGAGCGTCTAAAATAGTCAGCGAAACGATTAGGCCCCCACAATTGACTTAAACCACTTCAGGCAGCATTTCTTCCCGATCTACACCCTTTTAGGATCTTGCTCAAAAAATTCCTTTTTTTCAGGCTGACTCAACAACTTTACCGACTATACTACCTATTTAGATAGACTAGGTACTAGAGGCTCTCACAAAAAGAGCCTCGTTTACTAGATTGCATCATTCGATATACTACTAAGGGACATACTTTGAAAACGGTAATCTAACCTTATGTGGTCAGCTAAATCTGGTCTAAGCATTTATTGATCAAAATCTAATCTATGCCTAATCAGGAATGTTACAGGAAACACTTACCGTACGATTGTACAAGGCACCTGTACGATATGATTGGGCTTACGAGTATACTTATGGTAGTATAATAAGACTATTCTTAGAAAAGAAGAGAAGGTCCAGAATGTGTGTGAATCAGGTGCTCAATGTTATGTACATGTATCATCACAATAATTTACAAGATAGTAGATGCAAGGAAATGAATTGAGAAGACGATAGAGTCTAGAGATGACCGGGAAGAGAAAAGGATTGTATCCTATAGGCTTCTTCAGCTTCATCCGATGCCTACCTGGTAAGACTTATATACTAGTAAGCAGTATGCAAGTAAGTAGCATTCGGGGCTATTTAGCTCCTACTCTTTTAACGAAGTTACATTATGTAAAATTTGTTAGATCCCGAGTTCCCCCGAACTGATATATTTTTAATGATTACATATATATACACTATTAAAGAGTATATTCATTTCTAATAATTTCTTTATTAAAATAGTATAAGAAGAAAAGAATACTTATTAATAATTACTATATATAGTAATTTAAAATGATCGTTTGTATTTATTTTATTTATTTATAGTGATTAACGTCTTGTAGAGGACCTCCCGAGGGGTATGAAAGACGTGGCTAGATCTAGAGTTACAAATACAGAAGGCGCTGATGCGCACGCTAGTAAAACCTCACAGGGTAAACCCAGTTCCTTCTATATATCCTAAACAAGCCAGTGTAATGATCGCAAATAGGGCCGTTTTGATTGGCCCCATATTCCTAGCGCTTCCTTCTGCTCATGGAGAGGAGCGCTCTGATTGTACAATTACTTCTGTCATAGAACCATGTTTTATGGACAGGAGCGGTGTGTACAGGTGTGCCGCTTCAAAGAAGCGGGTATGTGTGTGATGGTGCTCCAGAGGAGCGGAGGATTCGGCTATTGGGCCGCTCGAGAGGAGCAGCCGGAACGATGGTTCCGCTGAGTAGCGGAATGGCGCATAGGCGCAGTGGTGGCGGCTGGAGGGGGGATCAGTTCCCCCTCAGCATTCGATCGATCGCTTTTGCGGCCCATAATAGAAAAGCTCTATTAGGGTTAGCGGTAGATTGTCGGAGCTCAGTGGAGCTGTGTCAGGAGGTCCACACTAAGGTGGCCTATGAGGCGGCATATAGGGTGGATCCATGTGGATCAGATCGCTATAGCCATAAGTCGTAGAACAGTAGGAGAGTGACCCGATCACTCTACCACTGAACCAGCCAGGCTCCTTGCGGAGGACAATGGTCTTTTTGTCAGATCGTTTGTAAATAATAATTAAAATTAAAATTTGACTCGTCTTATAAGACTACTAGTAGGTGCACGGACTTACAGAATACTAAAAAAGGAAAGTACAATTTCATATCAAAAAGAGCGATTTTAATAATTCAATTAAAATTAAAATTATTACTAGATTTACTTGAAATTTAAATGTCACGATAGAATTAGCCTATATAAACCCAATTAGCTGGGATGCGAAGACTCAACACCTGTACGCGGTGCATCCTACGAACCTCCAGCTCTTCTTCAAGAGTCTGCAGAGCTAAGATTGAGTCGCAGATGGAATCGGAAGAATTGGAAGAAAAGGGGTTTTGGAAGATATAGGGAAGGAAGGATTATATTACAATTTTGCGACAGCGATCTCTACGAAAAGATGAATACCAGCAAAGCAACGCGGATATAAAGGTTATGGAAGCCCCAGTCAGATTCAACATCTGTCTTTTATTACTACCTCTACAGGTACGATACGGAAAGTTAGCCTCTTCTCTCTTTTGGAAGAGTCTTTTCAATATAGAGCTCGTCGCCGCTCTCTTCGAATTACAATCCTTTCTCTCTCTTTGGCTTTCAGCCACTCGAATACGACTTTACGATACAAAGAATGCCATTGCCTTTTAATTAATTCTATACTCTGAGCATCGATACGATACAACGTTTTTCCTTCGATTTTCGAATTTTCGAATTTTTCGAATTGATTTGTGTATGGGTTGTAGAGCTTAGAATTTGACTCTACCCCACTATTTTTAACAGTTTCGACTATACACATCTAATAAAGACTGGAGGATATCAAGCTTATGAAGGTATACAAAGGGCTAGTTTAAAAAAGATAGAGTTAAAAGAAGAGTGGTACCTTCTATTTTCATTTCACTAGCAAGAGGACCTTTTGCTATACTGGAGGCAACTCGGGAGGGGATAACTCTTGTTCTTTATAGAAGGAAGGGATAGCAAATTGGATTCCAAGTTTGAAAGAGGATTGGATATCGAGATACTTTAATAGGATTAGGGGTAGGGGAAGAAGGAAGAGGGAAAGGTCCCAGTGGATGAAGACATTATATCTCTATTTGTATTCCGAATAGAGATCGGGCAGAGCACCCCAATATTTGTTTTTACTCCCCCAAAATTGATCATATCTATTATAGATATTCACTAGCATTACTAAGCTTTTAGAGCCTAGCCGTCTTATATAGTCATGGACTGGAGCGGGACGTTAAACTAAATCAATCAATCAATCAAACCCAATTAGCTTAATGCTATCGGTGATATCACTTTTAGCGTGATATCAAATAAATGGTTTTCAAGTATAAAGATTCTATACAAATAAATTTTGAATCAAAAAAATCAAAATTGAAGTCTTGATAATAGAATATATATTCTCTTATCAAATTTTTTGATAAAAAAACATACCATTGAATTTTTGAATTTAAATTTCATTCTTTTAAAATAAGTTTCAAATAAGTCATTCTTTAATTCTTGAAAAATATAATGTATCAATTTGAACAGAATTAATCTAAAATTCGAATTTAAATTGAATTATTAAAATTACTCTTTTTGATATAAAGTTGTACTTTGCTGTCACGTTGTCCCGTGAGTCCGTGCACCCACTGGTGGACTAGATATGTTTCTTGTTTGTATTCTAGTTTCTATTATATTGAAAGGAAAATTCTGCTATCTGAAAACTTCAAACTCACTTAAGATCTCTAAAGGGCCTAAGTCTCCTTTACTAATTGAATAGTATATTCTGTACTAAAATACAAGGCGATTCATCAAAACCATGGAGCCTTCACCACCGGACTCAGTGCTACAGACTCAAGAAGAAAGCATGCCCAATACCCCCAAATCGTGGCAGTTTTATCTCATACTCTTTTCACTCTCTTTTATCAGCTTTGTTGCCGCCCTCGACGGCTCGATAATTGCCACAGCCCTCCCTAAAATCACGAATGATCTTTCGGCTGCCGACAACTATGTGTGGGTTGCGAACTCTTTCCTCATTGCTCAAACAGTTGTTCAGCCACTTTGTGCTCAGATATGTAACATATTCGGGCGCCGCGCACCTATGTTCGTCTCGATTTCTCTTTTCATGCTTGGGAGTGGGATCGTAGGAGGCTCAAACAGCTCCACGATGCTCATAGCCGGTCGCACCGTTCAGGGCCTCGGATCTGGAGGCATCATGATGCTTGTTGAACTCATTATCTGCGATATCGTCCCCCTCAGAGAAAGAGGAAAATACCTCGGCATTGTCATGTCTTCGACCGCTATCGCTGCCATTTTAGGACCAGCTGTCGGAGGAGCTCTTGCTACAGTAAACTGGAGATGGCTTTTCTATTTAAATCTTCCTATTGCGGGGGTCACCATGGTTTTCATGGCCATATCTCTTCGTCTACATCACGAGAAAGAATCTACGTGGGCGCGAGCACTCTTAAGAATTGACTGGGTGGGAAACTTCATATTCATCGCCTCTCTTTGTTCTCTGTTGGTCGGCCTTATATTTGGTTGATCTGTGTTCTCGTGGTCTTCCTGGCGAGTAATCCTCCCAATTGTGCTTGGCGTACTAGGATGGATAGGTTTTCACTTGTACGAGTGGAAACCACCCAATTTTTGCAAAGAAGTCTTCATACCCCCGCGCATCTTCGCGAATCGAACTTCATCCGCAGGCTTCTACATCGATTTCATCTCCTCGGTACTACTCCAGTGGGTGTGCTTTTTCTGGCCTGTCTTCTTCCAAGCCATCAAAGGAACCTCTCCTCTTAGAGCTGGAACAAACTTCATTCCTTATGAGGCTTTTCTCATTGTGACAGCTGGCATGGCTGGCGGGATTCTCTCGAAATTTGGACACTATCGGCCATTGCACCTCGTTGGATTTGTTCTTAGTATTCTTGGACTGGGATTGAATATCATGTTATCAAACACCACCCCCAAAGTTTCTTGGGTCATTTTCCAGATGGTCGACGCCATTGGCCGAGGAATTCTGCTGCCTACCGTTCTGCCTGCGATAATGGCTTCCTTGCCTGACTCAGACGTGGCTACAGCGACGGGGCTGTACTCATTTTTGCGTAGCTTTGGTTTCATTTGGGGTATCACAATACCCGGGATCATCTTTAATGCGCAATTCGATCGCTACTCCAATCGTATCAGCGACCCTGCCGTCCGCCAAGAACTAGCAGGTGGGCGGGCCTATCAGTTTGTCAGTGGTACTTATATCCATTCCCTGGAGCCCACTATCCGACAACAAGTGATTTCGGTATATCGAGAAGCGCTAAAATCAGCTTGGATTGGCGCTGTTGCGTTCGGATGTACAGGGCTTGTTGCAGTATGCGTGGAAAGACACATATCGCTCCGAACGAAATTGGACACACAGTTCGGACTAAAGTCTGATAAGCTTGAAAAGAACCAAGAAAAGAAGGTCTCTGTACCAGAGGACATAGAAGTGGCGCTCTAGAGGGACGGAGGCACAAGGCAAGAGAGTTTGTTGACTTTAGTTACACGTCTCGCAACGACTGAGAATTTTACCTTCTGGCTCTACGTAAAAAACACGAATTTTTCCCACGACGGATTAATTTTGTCGTATTCTTTTGTAATTAATTCCTCTCTTATAATGATATACTTCAATGAATGAGGAAGCCGTCTTTCTTCAAGTAGTTGATACCGCCGATGCGATGAGGCATTGGTATGCATCCGCCTGTGCTAAAGCTTGCTTTGTATTCCTGTGAGGAGATTCGGTACTCGTTAAATATTACATTGGTACAGTAATCTCTGTTGGCAGTAGTCACTATATTCAATAGCTCCCAAAAGTCATTCCCTTCATGCCGATGAAGACCCAGGTAGTTTGCCTTATACTAGAGTCAAACGGGGTTTGTTCACCTCTCTGGTGAGGGACTTGCAATCGTACACCCTAAACACTGAGGAATAGTTCTCTCTACTACTCAATTAAGTGTATGATAATGTGTCGAGCAACGTTCAGATGGAACCGAATGCTAAAAATACGAGGGATATACAGGAGCGGTTGGGAGTTGGCTTGGGGTGGGGTGAAGAGTGTGGGTGGAGGAGGATTGGAGATGGTGGAGACAATTGAGGGGTAATTGAAAGGATTCTATAGTAAAACAATCGATATTTTGAAGCTCTAGATCTCAATTCAGAAAATCCTAAAAATCTAAAAATTTCAGAATGAGCTTAAAATGACTTGAGTTATATTATATATTGATAAAGATATTAATAGGCTCAAAAAGTGATTTTTGGTATAAAAGGGTAGCCCAAAACAGGGGTGGCCAGAAAGTAGGGTACCCGACTTATAGAACAACTAGCTAGAACCCGAATCGAATTCAAATCCTGAGGACGCCTTTCGAGTGGGGTAAGAAGTCAAAAAGTTCTAGAGCGTTGATTGATAATTTCGGATTTATAATATAAGAGTTCTGGAACCTACTTATCGCATACATATTGTTTTCCCCGCTAAAACCATCAATTATTCAACTTTAAAATCCCTGTTTAATTGTTATATTCTTATATAAAAAATTTAAAAAATTTATAAAGTGATTTATATTTATTCAAATTATCACAAAAAATAGCCAATTTATTTTTCTCTAATTTATTTGTAAAGTTATAAGGTATTGAAGCCAAAATTCATAAAATTTTCGAAAAAATCGCTTATTTTGTATGGGAAAAGCGTTACAAGTTAAAAAATATCAATTTTTCAATTTCAAACTTATATAGTTTCTTAACAAAAATATTAAAAAAATAAAATATTCATTTTTTTAATTAATTTATAATATAGTTTATATATAAGTGAGTTTTCGAAATGAAATATTTTGAATTGAAAACGCTATTAATTTTTTTAATTTGTATGGGAAAGCGCCATTTTTGCAGGGATTTTGTCACAAAACCATATGGGGTGCGGTGAGTAGGTTCCAGAACTCTTACAAATAACCAGTATAACAAGTGTGTCACTGACAGTACATGTGGTGGATATATCGGGTTGTAATTACAACTCATCCCTCAGAACATTACTTCGATTAACAAACACTATTTTACAAACGAATGAATTATACTGAGTCACATTGAATACATTTCATTCAAATATCGCCATACAATAGCCATGTCTCATTTAACTTACACCAATTATGAGGGATACGGACAAAGAGCCAAACAGGATCTGTGGTATAGCCAGGCTGTTAGAGTTGGAGATGTTATTGAATGTTCCGGTCAAGGTTTGTGGTCGTCATTCGCCAGCTGTTCTCAAGCTCGACGTTAGATCCTCATGTTTTACTGACTCATAGAGTATAGGTGGATGGGACCGCACAACTGAAGCCATAAGCCCCGATATAGTTCTTCAGATTGAACAAGCATTTGACAATGTCGAGCGCACACTCAGAGTAGCCGGTTCGAAGGGTTGGGAAGATGTGTTTTCCATTAGATCATATCATGTACCGGCGGATGAAAAATCGTTGGAGACAATGGTCAGATGCTTGAAAAAGTACTGTCCAGATCATCAGCCAGTTTGGACTTACCTTGGGATTTCGAGACTCGCAAGGGAGGATATGAAGGTGGAAATTGAGGTCAGGGCTCATGTGCCCCAAGACAAGAAAGCGTGAATCTTCTGTGTTTTGACTCCGCACATACCAAATTACAAGAGAGATGATTCACGCTCCGAGCTACATAATCATTTTAATGTTGTGCAACTACTTTTCTTCTTGGTACATAATTCTACATTAAACTAATAAGTCTGAAACAATAAGGAAATACAACAACTCATATCATGGGAACCGCCGGTAAAGCTTTCGAAGCCCTTCAAGCAGGCAGGAAAGCTATTAAGCAAGGCCGTGAATATCATGGCAAAGGACAGGAAATTCTCAAAGGGGCTCGGGAGGTTCATGGTAAATTCCAGGAAGTTAACAAAACTGCTCAAAGCTTTGGCATAGATCTATCAAAAGACGCATCGAATATACACAATAATCGTGGTCAGTTCAAAAAAGGAGCTAAAGGCTACGCACGAGGTTGTTTCTGTGGATTCTGGACCATACTCAAGTCTCAAGCTAAGAAGTGTATTACATATGTGCTCTCTCTTCTGGTCTTTGCTTTCATCGCCATCGGTCTTGTTTGTTTCCTCATCGCTGTACTTTCGCATCATCCACATTTGCAACTCCTTACATTAACGACAAAGGAAATGGTGGTTAATCATACTGCGAAAGGAGGAAATGTCACAAGAGTAAAGGAGATCGTGGATTATAAGATCTATCTCTTGCATTATTGTGTCACTGGTCTTACTACGGAAGTTGAGGAGATGTTTCAGATAACAAACGGCTGTCATCACTCAAAGCAAGGTATGTTGTGTTTTGATACCTGTTAATTTTCTCCTGTTTACATTGATCAAAATTGGCTGATACAGAATTCCTATCTGTTAGCATTGTACGAATACATACTACCCATCCTCAGTTCTACCATCACACCCCCACTTGCTATTAAGGACATTCCAGGCACCACGGAGATTCAGAGTCTCTTTAAACACTATGGATACTTTTCTTTCTGCCTATATATCCTTGACACCATTCTACTGCCTATTGTTGCAGTTGTATTTATCTGGTGGTTCATTAGTACCTTAACGCCCTGGAAGCGTACCTTCAGGCTTGTTCTCTGCGTAAGTCCACTTCCCTCTATCTATAACCTCCATACTTGCTCAATACTTACACCTAACACCACCAATATAGTTCTTCATATCCACTCTCCTCGCACCTGCAGTCCTTCAAACACTCCTCATCTACCGTGTCGTCCACATCCTCAAACATGACATCGACTTCACCAAATCCTACCTCGATATCAGCATTAAACACGGATTCCTCTACATGATCCTCGCCCACTTCTTCTGGTGTACATTGCTTTTCAACCTCATCCTTTTCCGTCTCATAGACTGGCTTCGAAATAAGAGAAAAACGAGAAAACTTGGCCAGACTCAAGCTTCCTACCAGGCTCAAAATAGTCAAAACTCTTCTGGTTTTCACGAGGGAAATGATGGGGTTGATAATACTTCATATGATACTCAATCTTTTGAGATGAAGAAAATGCCACCTCCAAAGGATTCAAAAGATATAACGAGTATTGCGCGAAAGCCAATGGGGTTGCAGTATGATAATGTCGACATGAATTACGGTAATGGTGATTTGGGAGAAGAAAACCTGAGGCGTAATATTGATTTCATTCATGAGAATCGGAAAGAATAAACGAGATTACATGGGGGGAAGATGAATTTGATAATGTATAATTTTTAGACGCTAGTCTTTCCACCACTGCGGCTAGACCCACTGGATAGAATAGAAGTATGATGATAATATAGTAAAGCCATTTATGGGTGTTTTCCCACATATTAGGATTTATGTTATTCATCTGTCGTTTGAATACATACCTAGAATGCTGTGTTGATATTTCATGTAAGATTTCTATCATTTTGACAAATCATTTTCCAGTCCATTTCTTCTCCTTGGGGTAGTATTCAATCTCATTTAAGGTTAATTGAGTGGAGCAGTTTTAAAGAATTGCTGTATTGGGCAGCGTTTCTGATTAGTTTGATCAGGTATGATAGAGTCGACGTTGCATTGAGATAAAAAAAAAATTATGGCATCATCATGAGCGAACTAGAAAGTGACTTCATGAATGCATATGCAAGATACCTCTCCATTCACAGTTTTGAAATCCCCACTTTCTCATGCCGGCAAACGGATAGCTCGGTATAGAAGCAAAAGACCTCTGAGCTCACATGCAAGTACCCGCACTCGGTGCCTCAAAAAGTATTCATGCGTATTCCAATAGATAAAGACGTACTTCATGTCCAATGCCAAATGCATTCCTCCATTATATACAATGGTACTGAGAAATAAGTGGATCATATGTGTATGCATGAACACTACGCTGGGTCTCCTGAATGCTCTTGCACAGGGGTATAAGGGAAGACAAAGTGCTTAAAGGAAGCTGTCGATGAATGGAATTTCGTGAATTCATCTACAACATCCTCATGCCAATTTAGAATTACGCACCGTTCAATAATTCTCTCCGAGATAGTTATCGACCATGCTGCCAAAAGAACTTGATACACATATCATGGTTGATTGCGAACTTGCCGGGCACCCTAACCTGATCAAACCAGCGATTACCCAAATCGGTGCCAGTTTTTTCGACATTGAGACAGGAGAGGAAAAATCACGCTTTGAAGTATACCCAAGTTTACAGTCCTGCCTTGCCCATGGGCTAGTCCAAGATCATGTTACGATGCAGTGGGTTAACATAAATTGTCCCCAAGTACTCAAAATGAGCGAAGAGAGCACTGTGACTCTCAAAGAGGCATTACAAGCATTTACAGCCTGGATTGAAAGCTGTAAAAATGCTACGTACGACACGATAATAAAAAGTGGTGGACGATATCAGTTTGGAAACACCCTATTGTGGGCAAACGGAAGCATGCAGGACAATCGATGGCTTCATTTCGCATATGAAGCTTGCAAGTTGAAGCAGCCCGTGATGTTCTGGCAGTACAGGTGCGCAATGACAGCAAACTATACGGCCAGCAAGATAACGAAACGAAACTTCCGCAAGGAAGCAGATCTAGACCGTCAAGGGCAAAAACACGATGCTGTACAAGACTGTCTGCATCAAACTGGATGGTTGGTAAAGGGTCTAAACGCATCAATGGGAAAGCAAGCCATTAGTATCCCTTTTTCTGCCTCTTCTATTCCCTCTGCCTCTTCTATCCCCTCCGGCTCTCCTGTCCCCGGAAGACCATCGAAAAAGCGAAGACTCGATTGCGACGATAAATGAGAGGTAACATGATCCATTTCAGAATCAAGAACTCATGCTGATAATACAATAGAAGCGGGGTCCACCATCTTAATGACATGGGCCTTTGGAAGTCGACGAGACAAAGAAAGACTTGATCAACAGTAGGCGTTATGAATGTTTTGGAATTAGCCCTAACAGGGAGAATTTATCCGAGAGACAAAGAACGTAGAAAAGGGCTTCTAGAAGGAGCTCGGCTGTCATTTTCAGAAGACTTTTCATACTTGAATTGAAGGGTGATTAGAGCACGCATCTACCGAAGTCTGTCTAATATCAATATCATCAACCACGCTACACAGCGGACGTATGAACCAATCTGACACCATGAAAACAAAATTTGTCCTTTTGATCACTTGACTTTTGTTGAGCTTGAATATTCAAATAATTTGTGCAGAGTACAAGCGACACAACCCCATCTGCAGCAAAAATAAAAATGGCGACAACACTGTTGTTTTGCATTTCAAGAATAGAATAGGCTCAAATCAGTGGAATGGATTAACTCCCAAAAAAATTCAACCACCGTGGTTTTACTAGCTACCACTGTTGTAACTTTTGCGATGCATTTTTCTCGTATTTGAATGCTTGCTTGATGCAGACTTTCTTATGTAGCTTGCCAATTGCTTTTTAGTATTTATTTTTACGACAACCAACGATCGAGCAGCCTGCGCACCTTTTTGAGAGACTCAGAAACCCTAGCATATTTTTCAAATCTTATTGCATTGCCCAACGTATTTTGAGACAGCGTTTCAATAATCTCAATGTCAACCACCATCGCAGCATCGAAAGTAATCACCTCACTCCTTTTGTAGCCCTTCTGATTTGCCACGATTCGTTTCACCGTTCCTTCTTCCACAAAATCGCAGTTGTAGTGCGTATGCCCGAACGCCCAGAGTCTGACACTTGAGCTCGTCCAACATATCTGGTCAGAGAGATCTGTGACAAACGCAGACCTGACTTGATTGGAATCTTCAAGCTTCTTAGGATCATTGGCGGCCTCAAGCATCGTCGGGCTGAAGTGTGTGAAGACCACAATCTTTCGTCGAGGTTCATCTAGTGTTATCTGCTCCACTTGAGCATTCAGCCAGATAAGATCTTCGAGATGAGAAGCGTTATGAGCATCAATATCCCACTCCAATGTCTCGGAAAAATCGGAGCAGAAAAGCGACACAGATTGACGTTGTTCATCGGAGATGTGAGAGAAAAGGGTGCAACCTAGAACGGTCAAGCTGTCCGTAATTTCAAATCTCGTTCGGTTGAGAAATACAAAACGGCCCATTTCCACTCCTTCCTGGCGATTTTTGTTCATTCTACGTTGAAAACCCAGCATAGTTTCAACGGCTGCCTTCACTTTCGTTCCGTATGCTTCATGATTTCCTTGGACGAAGAAAACAATCTCGAATACCCTCAGTTGGTCTTCGAGAAAAGCAAGAAATTCATAATCTATGACTTTTCCGATGTCGCCCAGAAGAGCCAAATATCTACATTCTGGTTGAATTTTGAAGTGCTGATATGATGGTCTCGCGCTTGGAGTCTCCAAATGGAGATCTGACATAATTTGGAACTGCACTGGAGACATCTGAGCGACAACACTGGATTGATAGTGGCTTTTGTGTGGCTACAAAATGGCAATAATCGTGGTGAGTCAAATTGAAAGTATGAATCATTCCCAGGTATGAAGATAGTTGTAATGAATTGTTGTCATATTGTCGAACAAAATAGTAGACGAGGGTGGCATGCTCAGCAAAAGTTCAGGGCTACAGGGCCTAATCTACGGGAACTTACAGGGCTCAAAAACAACTACAGGCCGGCACGTAATCTTCATTGTCTCATTGGCGGGACTCGCGTGCTCCTGCTACTAAGCGCATCGCTGGGTCCGTGCCACAAAGACCTTTTCTGAACATTTGTGTTACTTCCTGAATGTCGCACGAGAAGCAACCTCTGCGATGATCGTGGCTATGTAAGCAAGGCATATCGAACGAAACGTATTGTCCCATGGATACGGTTTACGCTTAAAATTCCTTGTTGCTTCTTTACCTACTTATAGGTTCAATTGCCGCGTTTCAAGCTCATGGGTTAAAATGCTTGCAAACCCCGAACCCAGGTGAAGCGCTTATTCGGATCAGACAAGTGTCTCTCGTCCAATGATGCTACTATGCTACACAATACCTTAAATTTTAGCTTGATGGCGCGTGTCTTCTTTGCGGCTCACATACCAAGACTTTAATGACTGGTCTTCAATGATTCAATCTTTAAATATGGTCGCTTCAGAGACTACCGACCTTACCAACGGCCATGTCAAGCGGACTGTTTCCTATTGGCAAACCCAGCGCATGCTACTACACTTGGCCGTCTCATGAATTTATAGAGTCATGATATGATGTACAGAGCAGAATTTGGAAATCTAGATCGATGGTACAAAGGTTCTGGGCTCTTGGGGTTCACAGTAAGAGTGTGTAAGTATGAATATTTAAGATCTGTATTTCCTCAGTTGTTTGCTTCCATCATCATCTCAACAACCAGTCTTTTCATCTACTACAAAATACCTCTTTCCCTCCCACTTCTTTTCTTTGGCTGTGGTCAGATTTTAGGACATTCTCTTCACAACAATTATATCATACTTTTGCTGCTAGATCAGCTTAAAACTTTCACTTCTTCACCAATTCGAGCCACCTTCAAGGCCAAGTAAGATATTCTCTCTTCAACTATTATCAGAGACGCAGATTCTGTTTACTCCGCTATTCAACACTTGTCTACTGGAAAGTCCCCTCGATCATTATTGTATCATTTTCACCCCGTTTTCGGATACTCTCATCCAGCACAATGTTTTCACCCAAAGGTCAAGATTATGGCTCTTTCGGTTTCGCCTTTACCATCACTCGGGCTTTACAAGCCATTTGCCTGATTTGCATCCTTAGTATGTCTGCAAATTTCATCGCAGAGATCAATTCGGTCGACACAGCACCCCCATCAGTTATCATTGCAACTCTCAGTATTGTATGTCATCCTCATCCCCAGATTTCTTTCAATTCTTACTAATTTCTACCAGGTTGTGATTGTGGTTGTGTTTCTTCTTATAGGCTATCTTCTCTATCTTGAGCTCCAACTCAGCTTCCTCTTGGCTACTGCATTCGATACAGCGGCTCTTATTGCTCTCATTGTGGTTTCTGTGAAAGTCGGAACGCCACTTTCTTATCTAGAATGTCCTGCCCTTCCCAATGTTGGAGTGACTTCGGCATTTGTCGAATCAGCTGTCGGAAATTTCTCTAAAGCCAATTACTACTTCTGGGTCGGTGCATCGAAGACGGCATGTTACGAAATGAAAGCCATCTGGGGATTTAGCATGGCACTTTGTGTGCTATTTTTCTTCAGTGGCATTATCAACATGTGCATATGGAAAAAGAACAAGTTGGCTGCGTCGAAGAGAGATTTGGAGTATCAGGGATAAACTAATATAAAAATATAGATAAAGAGTAGCGGTGGTGCGTAGATGGGAAGAGTTGATTCGACGTGCAGAATGCCTATTGAAATTCGGAAATAATGGAGACTGTGATCATGATAGGAAGCAGGAAAACGGGGATAAGAGTGAGAATGGTTGTCTCGACATAGGTACCCAAAATGAAGGCGGAAGATACTGCACCAAAACTTTCGAGATTTGGTGTTGAATCAACAGCAAGCATAGAGAATTGGCAAGGGTGGATATGGGTTAAAGGAAAAAAGGAAAAAGGCGGGGCTCCTCTGGTGGCATGAAGGGGGACGTAATAAGGTGAACAAAATTAGTTCTCATGGTTGGGAGGTTTTCTTCTGTTAGCATGGGATCGATTGGTTAATGCTTGATTTTTGCTTTGAGTTGCAATAATCGTCAATGAGACTTAATGGATACACAATTATTTGGATTTTTTACGTTGCCCATCATGTTTCCTGCATCTTATGAGTGAAAGAATGCACGCCCAACCTTCTTTCGAGTCCTGGGTCTGGCTCACTCCGGCCTCAGAATCTGGAAACTAGCTCCGTCCACGGCCCACCCCGCCATTTGACCTGTCAAGTCTAAGTAGTCTTCCGATCTATTAGCTTCGCGGATCAATTTTTTTTAATTCTTCGACCCGTCCCATGTATTTAGTTGCCGCACCATACCCGGATTCCGAACCGGCAATATACAATTATGACAAAACAAAAATTCACTGAATTCATCAACGACAATCTCACCAAACAAGAATGATTCATTTGCCAAAAACGGCATCGGTACTCATTGGCTCCCAAATAATTTGGAATTTCCATCGCCAAGCGAGGCAGGGTAAACGTAACGTGTACCACGTACTGCAACACAGCACAGCACAGCACATATAACAGGACCAAGGCTTTGGGAAAAGTGATCGGTACCAATAAGCAAATCGTGCTATCGTCTGCACATCATCTGTTTGTGTGTGTGTGGCGGTAAGATATGCGTAATGACCTGTTGGGTATGATGATTGGATGAACGAAAAGAATTGTGAGATCTTACAAGCACCAGAACTCCGTGAATCATTTGGGGTTGGCTATGGTAGGTGCGGAATGGTTTGATAGAGTTATGATGATGGTAGGTAGATGTCTTTTCTACAGTATGAGAAAAGGTTGCTCTGTTCGGGAATCTTTGGATTGTTTTTTGGAGGAGACAAGATGGCTTATCTTTTGCTTTTCTTCACAAGAATCTCATCATTTTCTTATTAGTAGATGTTGCTTGGTTAGCGATCATATAAAATTAGCTACACAAATATTTTTTGGGATTAGTTTTTCATTCATCTCAATGCGAATAAATAGATGCCCAGCTTTTGACAAGCTTTAATCAATGATCATTTCTTTTTTCGAACCCTTTTCGAAAGAATATTGTCAACTAAATCCTGCTTTGAGGAAAAAGAAAAGGCATGACAAGAGGCCTGTGTTGTATGTACGTGTGTAGTACGACGCATCGGTCAAGGAAATTTAGATGCTCTTTTTGATGGAAGAGGCGTCTTCCGTTTGTAGAAACGAGGATCAAGGGAATGGATGTTTATCTAGTATCTAGCTCTAAACTTTGAATCTTGGGTAGCATTGAAGATCTTGGTAAGAATTGTATCATACATGTTGAAGATGACCATTCCACTCACTTGCTGATATGACCGACTGTATCTCCTCAAAAGCCATCAATCAATCATAGGTAGCTGCCACTTTGCATATCCCATGTCATCGGTACCAATAAAAACATCACAGGGGAGACGGGACTATTTCTCGGTAGTAGGGTAGTAGGGTAGTAGCACTCCATTATAGGCTAACACTTAAGCCTGGCATCCCAAAAGTCATCGATTCGCTTGGACCTAAAGTCTTACATTACGAGTCCTCCCACCTTGTACAAATCAGCGGGCAAAAATTGATTAATCATTTTCAGCTGTGGTCAAGATGGGCCAATTACACCTTATCTTAATTCTGGATGATATATATCCATAGTGATACCAATATGGTCTAGTAGTAAGTCAGAAGCTAGGTGGATATATACTTCTTGTTCCTACTGCGCCTCTTCTAAAGCATTCCAAGGTTGCTCTCTATCTCTATCTAAGATATCAAGGAAGTCTATAGAGATTTACCATCTCAATCTTCATTTTACCATCGACGCAAACATGGCCAAAACAATATTCACAACGATTACACCTCTCCCTCCCAATGTTTCCCGCCAAACGGTCCTCGACACCCTACACGATCATCTCGAAATGATCGATCTCAATCCATCCCACGCCGAACGCACACCCACAAAGCCCCCTTCCTCTGCCACCCCTGAAGAATACCACTGTCAATGGTATCGCATTACCGACAGAATAGCCTATCTACCCGGCAATCTCTACACCGGCACCGTATCCTTCAACGCCTGTTTCCACGATTTGGCAAATGGACTACAAACACATTGCTATGCGCCCATGGGCTTAGACATCAAGGAAAAATGGACGATCGAGGGAAATATGCCTGGAGAACCAGCCGTTCCGAGAGAAATCGGCATTAATGCGCCGGTGGAGGGACTATACATCCGAGAACATGTAGAGATGAAATGCAACATTTTTATGACGAGATTCGTGCGGAAAACCTTACAAGAATGTTTGAAAGCGCTGGTGGCTCGATTAGTCGTAAAAGCGCAATTGCAAGAGGCGCATGAGAGGAACAGGAGATTAACGGTTGGGAGCGCAAGTGGATATGAGCGGGAAGGTGATACGATGACGCCGCCCTTGAGTCCTCCATTGAGAAGCCCCGGAATGGCTTCGGGGGGTAGCGTTGGTAGGAGAGGAAGTGCATATAGTGGAATGAGTGTCCCGACGAGTCCTCCATTGACCCCTTACAATCCTGAGAAATGGGCCGAGGCGGGCATGAAGGGCCATCCGGCTTTAAACCCGTACACACCGCTTCAATTACAGCAGCAGCAACAGCAACAGCAGTTATATCAGATGCATCATGATAGGAAGAGTTACGGGGGACAAGATCAGCGATGGTCGGGCATTAGTGATAAGACACAAACCTCCTTGCCCGGTCCTCCAAACTATGCGAATAAACCTGTCAACTACACGAATAAGCCTACCAGGATATCCGAAATGGAAGCGCCGCCCGGCCCGGTTGAATTGCCGTAGGCGAAGAGGGAGTGGGAGGTATGAAGAACAAGATCTCGAGGACAATTGTCGGTAATGGATGAGAAGAATTGCTCGATTGATATGGTTAATCAAAGAAGGAGGATTATCATCGGCAAAGGGTTTATGGGGTTCTGGGCAAGGAGTTTGATACCACTCACCAACACCGAAGCATCTGCTTCGAAGGCATACCCAATTGTATGACCTTAATACAACTAAGACAGACACATGCATAGGACTGTCGTTTCAGGAGACCATGAAGAAAGAAAAGTCATCATGACAGGAATGGAAAAAAGGGATCGACGGATTAAAAACTGGCCGTTCGTCTAGTGTGTTGGCGAAGCGCCATGAGATGGCACGTTTCTTGAATGTACATTAACGACGATTTATGATATTGGGAGGAAAGAATTTGGGTAATTTCGAAATATTTGGAGCCTTGGTCATTTAAGTTTCTCGAATTTTTGAATTTATTTCGGCGTAAATGTCATCCTAACTCATGCATGAACATTCCTCATGGGAAGTTACATGTGTTTGCATAACCTTGAATTCACAATAATGACGTTCAAGTTCCCCATGTCTCAGAGATCGGCTGTGAACAAAATGAACAAATTTTATTGAGGATCTATGTGTACAAACAAGCCCCGCATCATACACGCTCATGCCCCAAACCCCTCTAAATTCCTATCTATGATGCCATTCTGCTCATATCGTTTCTTATACGTTGGTAATCGAGGAGACCTAAATGTGTCAGTAAAAAATTCAAAAAGAAGTAATGGAATAAGAAATTTTTAGGCATACCTTCAATCGAACCAACAGCACTAATTGCAATATCTTGATCCCACAACTTTCTTTGCGCAAAGCTCATAACATCCTTTTCGCTAATGGCCCCAATAACACGCTCAATCTCCTCTGGTCCCATACGACGGCCAGTGGTGATGATTTGTCTTCCAATATCTTCAGCGACGGCAGTGGTGCCGTCTAAGGAAAGAAGAATGGATGCCTTGAGTTGAGCCTTGGCACGCTCAACTTCGGCCTCGGTAACGTTATATGATAGACGAGACCATTCACGGAGAGTAAAGTGAACTAAATCGTCAATACGGGTGGTCTTGTCGGTGACAAGATAGATACCCCAGAGTCCAGTGTCGCTGTAACTTGTTGAGAAACTCATAAAGCTGTTGGCCAAGTCGTTCTTGTGGACGAAACCACTGAGCTTGCTACCCATGTGAGGAGCGTTGCCCATAGCTTTGTCCCAGTTACCGACGATAGCTTGGGTAACCAAAGCAGTAAAGTAATCATCATCTTTCCAGCTGACACCCTCGACAGCGATGGCAATGTTGGCAGTTGGGATGGTGTCGTCACGAACTCTGACCTCAGAACCAATGAATTCTGGCTTTTGCTTTTGAGCGTTGGCAATGGCGAGAGCAGCGCTGGAATGTGGTTGGGATGCAAGACCAGCAAAGTGCTTCTCAGCGAGCTGAACGAGTTGCTGGTGGGGAACACCTCCGGCACCAACAAGAACCATACGATCAGCAGTGTAGTTTGTCTTAATATAGTTGGTCAAGTCCTCTCTTTGAATGGATTGAATGTTTTGAGCGGGTCCCAAAATGGTACGTCCTAAAGGTTGTCCTTGGAAAGCAGTTGCGTGTAAATGATCGAAAACGACTTCCTCCAATTGCTTATCAACCTCCTCGGATTCTCTCAAAATAACATCACGCTCTCTGTTGATCGCCGAAGGTTCGAGTTTGGAATTTTGGAGAATATCGGAGAGAATGTTGACAGTTGCTGGTACGTCAGAGTTGAAAGCCTTGGCGTAGTAAACTGTGTTTTCACGCTTCCATAAAATTAGCAAAGTGCCCCGCGCTATTCAGATGAATGTAGACATACGGAAGTGTAGGCATTCAAGTGACCACCCATGTTCTCAATTTCCAACTCCAATTGATGCTGCGTTCGGTTGCTGGTTCCCTGTTTTCATTGTAAGCCCAATTGAACTTTCCACCCCAGACTGAAATATACCTTGAAGGCAAGATGTTCCAGGAAATGAGCAGTGCCATTGGTCTTGTCAGTTTCTGCCCGAGAACCGGCATCGATCCATACACCAACTGTCGAGGTTTGTGCCCATGGCGAGTGTTCTGTAGCGATCTTTTCTCTTATCAGCACTTTGCCCCCTTCATCATTCATATTCAAAACTTACCGTTAGACCGTTTGAAAGAGTTGTGGTCTCTGTCTTGACGCCATTTTTTGTGACTGGAGTCGCGAATCCTCTTCTCAGTCCAGATACGACATTTGGAGCAGCGCGGGTGCGCAGTCCTTTTGTAAGGTTTAATGCTAACCGCCGAGACGCCATAGGGATATGATGTGAGGGTTGTGGTGGAAATAAACAAATTGAAGATAACCCGATGAGTTCAAATTACTAGAATTTAGTAAACCTGAAGAGCTTAGTCGTTGATCATATTTCAACCAATCAAATTTGTTCCGGCTTTGATGACCTCACACGTGACTTGTTGCCGAGCTACCTAGTTATTCCGAACATCGTCGACCGAGCATTGAAGGACCTGAGTGATATGTCGTCGACTCTTTTACACTCAATAATTGTAATAGAAATTCACAATGGCTTCATTCATCAAACCATCAGTCATTAGGCAGACTTGCCTCGCTGCGTCGAAGCGCAATTTCTCTACAAAGATCCCCTCCAGTTTCCCCGCAATCAACAAGCCCGCTGGTCGCAGTACTTTTGTTCGAGATGCATTGCCAGGTTCAATGCGTGTAGCGGCATTCCATGCAAGTGGCAGACAATCAATTCTACCCCCATTACCTCGTGAGCTTTCCGCGATTGATATGCCTTGATTTTATTGCTAACTACTTCACAGAATCTATGATGGAACTTGTATGTTGATCCGCCCTCGAGCCAGTCCACCATAAACTAATAGTCTATATAGCAAACGACGCAGCACCTGTACCTAAGCCATCCCCATCCCACGGCTCCTACCATTGGACTTTCGAGCGTTTAATCGCCGTTGGTCTCGTTCCTCTCACAGTCGCCCCCTTCGTTTCCGGATCATTGAATCCGGCTACCGATGCTCTTCTTTGCGCGGCTATTCTTATCCACTCACATATTGGCTTCGAGTCGTGTATTATCGATTATTTCCCAGCAAGGAGAGTGCCAAAAACTAAAGCTTTATTTTGGTGGGGCTTGAGGGGAGCAACTGTTTTGGTTGGAGTTGGATTGTATGAGTTCGAAACAAACGATGTCGGAGTTACTGAGGGTATCAAGAGAATTTGGCGCGCATAAGAGGGCCGGGAGGAGTTTGTATTATTCAAGAATAAGCAGCGTACACGCAGTACAATATCAAGGCTGTCCAACACTTGTCGTTTTAAGTCCTGTCGAGTGAGATCGCCATTTGCCTAAAATTTTGAGTGTTTGCACAGCAAAATATTGGTTCTCGCGGTCTTCTCTAAGCTTGAAAAGTAACATCAAAGCAAAGTATATTGGCAGATAGTGATGCCAGCTCCTCAAACCTCTACCTTGACGAATTGCTGCACTAGAAACACTAAACTCACATCGAGTACCTCACTACGCTTTGATTTTTTTTAATGCCTTTGCATACATCTCCTCATTGACAACATATCTCCAGTACAGGATACTCCGTTTTGCTACAATCTCGGAAGCCCGACCCAGAGAATGTAGAACAGGAGGCAATATCTCATTCAATCGCCAGTGTGTTATGCAAAGTTGATTTGTTTGTCTTGACACGTATTAATGAAAGGGGAGCAGGAGATCGTTGGAAGATGTGTTAGAAAACTAAGTCCATTTTCTTTTGCATCATGGTGGTGGAACTCTCGCACTGAACCTGCTTGCTGGGTTTGTCAAAATCAATCACAAATACTTATATAAGAAGCGTTCCTTCAAAACCATGATACCCAATCTCGCCGTGAGACACGATTTAAACAAGCAAAGAAGAGTAGAGAATAGAGTTCGAACAGCATGACTCAATTGAGGGTGAGCCAAATTCCAAAAAATTGAAATCATGTAATGTAAACGATCCCATTTCCAATTCAAACCAGACAAACTGAGTTCTTCAATCAACAGTGTCTTCGGATGTTAAGCAGCGGTCCCGTTTGAGGGGATGTGAAGACCCAGTGCGTTACCACTAAGCCATCTGGACTTTGTTTCTTGGTGAAGTGATATGGATTGTTTATATTGATATAGTTAAGCGAAGAGCCTCACTTTTATATGTCCTGTCACTTTGTACCTGTCCACGGGTGCTACTTACTATTTGTATGGATTACTCAGGTACCTAAGCCCAAGTCCGCACTGCCTCATGCAATACTGAGCCACAGTGAGAACTCAACTTCTTCGTATTTTTGTTGATCAGTTAAGGTTTCAATTTGTTTATCATTGCCATATTTTCGAAAACGCCTCTATGAGCAAGACGGCATTATGCCACAAAATAGAGTATACAGACTTCCAACTTGAGAAAATAAGAAACCAATGTGAGTCTAGCTCTCCCCTTTGACCTGTCTAACCCCCAATCCATTCCAACGCCTGTCTCCATTTCCCACAAAATCTCTCACCACCAATAAAAATATCGATTACGATTGGTATGGGGTTTTCGATCATCACAAAATAGTCACTGAGGCGATTGCTTTCCTCTTTGCCCACACTCCTCTATCAGCTTCATGCATATCCTCTACCTTTTCCGACTTCCTCGATATCGCTCGGAAATATTGCAATGAGTATGAAAGAGTTCCAACAGAGGCCTGTTGGTTTACGATCCGTCTCCCCACACCGAGTGATATGTTTGTGATGCCTAGGTGGCATCAAGATGCGAGAATGTTCGACTACACCTGTCTTCATTCTCATTCAGGACACGAGGACGAGGGATCCAGCAGCGACCCTAATAAGAAGGAAAAGGCAATTCACAGTAAATACGCCACCACACTCCTTGGCCCTTGCACTCGACTGCTCCCAGAAACTTATTTTCTTAGAAGTAGTATGGTTGAAGTCATGGGTTTGAGTCGTGAAGAAGAAAAGATTGAATTGGCAAAGCGGTTTGAGAATGAAGAATGTGTTAGTTTGGTGGTGGGAGATATAATTCGTTTTACTTGGAGAGATGAAGATTCACCTGTTCATTCGGAGTCGGATATCAGTTGCAGTGATAGAGTGTTTGTTAGCTTGATGTTTGGCAGTAAAGAGGAGCTTAGACAAATGTGCAAGTGGCGGCATGTGGAATTCAGACAGTGAAAGATTGATTTCAGATGAAAAAGTCGACGACCCTTTTTACTTACACACGATTTACTTTATCAAAACTGCTCCTTGTCTTCAATACGTACAAATGGCGATAAGACAGACAAAGCAGGTAGAGCTGGAGGATATATCGGGCCTCCGTATTCGTTGGCAGGTTTTATAAAGGTCTTTTTTCGTGGATAAGAAGAAAAGAAAGATGAGACATGTAACTAGTGAATAAGTTGCGCATCATTGTGAAATGAAGTGATTTGATTTTTTGTCTGTAATTGACATGTTCATTAAACTATGGAATCAGGAGCCGACATAACCCTCGCCGCTACTCTCAGCAATCACCACGAACTAAACACCATACTCCTATCCAAAACTCAATACACGATCAATGTCAGGCGAACCTTCCAGCAACACGCTTCTGTTTCTTGTTCGATTGTCCGAGCATCGCAGATCTAGAATTAGAAGGGGAACCCTCGAGAGTCTCTTCATCTTCCTGAGCTTGTCTGTTGGGGTTACGGCCTGCTTTTATCTCAGACTTTGAGATCAAGGTGGAAGCAATTTGTTGTGTGGAGCTTCCGAGTTTGCGTTTTCGGGAATCGGCGACATTAGTGCTTAGTTGAGTTTCTCGGAGCGGGGGTTGAATGATTGGAATGCCATTCTCATCCAACTCTTCTTCTTCATCTTCTGCCCCGTGTACAAACTCCACTGCCCGTCCCATTGAATGATTGATCATTATCATTTCATCTTCACTCTGAGAACCGGGAGTCTGCAGGCCGGTCTCATGATCTTGGTCATCAGTATCCACAACCTCAGTACGCGTGTGCAAAAGTTGCATGTTAACGTTCATTTTAACCTCTAATCCCTTTGGAAGCTTTGGGAGCGAGAAGTCGAATCCGGAGAGGATAGCTTTGGTTGTGCGTTGGAGGAGAGTTTCCTATTTTTTTAGTCAGGAGAGTGCAGGCATAAGTAGTTCGAGATGATGCGCAGATACAGAAGATGAAGTATCAGATCAGAGGCAAAGAAAAAGTTTCAATGTATACTAGAAGACTTACCAATTCAGGCCCTGCATTTGTCTCATTCAATTTCTGTTCAATGGCAGCTAATTCCCTGGCTTGATCCTTCCGACGTGCGAGACGTGATCGATTTTCGACGAAAGCAACGACTCCCTCTTTAACTGTGGGCTTCTCTATACCGGCAGCTGTAAGTTGTGCCAAAAGCTCTTTGACAGTGAGCTTGTTGAGATCCATGCTGCTTTGTTAGTATTTTATGGCGCGAGTCGAAAAGGGAGAGGTGAAGGCAGATGATTGTGTATTCGTTTCTTTCTTGGCTGAATGAAAGCATGAACTTTAGGGATTGAACATATGCTATACTGTAGATGAGAATCAAGATGGGAATTTGTTTGTCATTAAATAGATGGGTGAATGAGAAAGCCGTAGAATTAGCGTTCTTGTGACTTTTCTACAGTGCCGTAGAGGTGAACTCACCACGTTAAAGAGAGCCAATGAGATGAGATAAAATGCCAACAATGAATCGAGAGGAGTTAAGTTCTGGAGCTTTAAGATTTTAGGTTGACTTGTATTAATTGGAGGGGTGCAATGTGCCTACCTTTGATCGGGAGGACTAGCTAGCAGCTGATGTGGTGATAGCCCTCCCCATACACAGAACTCAAGAACCATGGACTTTTTGAATAGTAGAAAGGAATATTCGGCCTTGAAATGGGTGCAGTCAAGTACATAACCGCAGTAAGTATTTATGATTTCAAGAAAGAGACATTGCATTTAGAGTTGATCACTAAAGCAGGATGCACATTTGCATCTTTCTAGAATAATTATGAAAGATATTCTATCATAAAATATAACATTGTAAATCACGGAAACCAAAGTCTTTATTTCCTTTAGAAGACAAAATTACGCCTCTATACATTCAGCGCATTATGTTGGGTTAATTTGACCTGCCACAATCCGTAACATCCTCACATAAGGCATCATAAACACTTACATTTATTTCAATAAGGTACCAGAATTCAGCGGCACAATCGTAACAACTTTACTCAGTTGATATCTTAAGATTCTTGAATTGCCATGTATGATTTATCTTCCTTTCATCAGATACTAAAACCTACTCAATTAGATTCTATCTCAATCCAACCCTAAGCGAGAAAAGACCTAATTCAACAAGACCAAATCCATCTATCTACCATCTCAAACCACAAATTTTTGTGAATAAGCTGATCTAATCCATCAAACAGAATGGTAGAATCAAAGGCATCAATAACTGATACTAGTACCTCCACTCAACTTACGCAAACTCCATCGATAAAGGAAAGTTCGTTGACGACCCCCCCTTTTCTCCCATCACCATTGTAATCCAGTAGTCTAATGAACAGCAACTCCAATCATCAGTTTGCTAACCTATAATAATCACTCCCAAGAGTATTTACAAATACACAATTTCGTCTCAACATTGTTGATCCACAACAAAGTTCATCACCCGGCCGATGTCTCGAGTGACTAGTCTTTCCAAAACCAGATCCTCTCCAACTTTCTCAAATCAACTTCTTAACAACACCACACCACAGTATCTCAGCCCACCAACAACCTTTAAAGAAAAGTAAGTCTTCTTTCCTATAACCATACAATTACTTGATATTCTTGCAAGTGATTATTGATGAAACTCTTTCTTATCACAAGTAAAAGTTTCACACTCCTTCATACTCGTTCATTACATTCTTACAATCTATGCTCTACACTGCAAACTACTAACGAAAAACAAATCATAGCTCACATAATCACAAGCTTTCAACGCACACTCAAAATGACAGACCCATCCCCCTCAAAAGACTTGGTTCAAATGGAAATCGACACCACTTCCGCCACCGTCGACTCCGCCCCATCCGCAAACTCCACTCCCATCAACGTAGCCGCCGCCGCCACTGCTGCTGCTGTTCCCCAGTCAACAATGGTCTTTGATGAAATGCTCGCTGAATACCAAGACGAGAGAAATGAAGAGTACCACTACGATATCATTCCCATTCCCGATCTCCTCCGCCATCTCCGCGAGCGTGATATCCGACCATCCTTCAGAGATGGAATGGTTGCTATGCTTCTTCTCGATGATGAGAACCGTTCCTTGGCCCGCCAAAACGTTCTTTTCACGCCTGGTACTGCTAATTGTTTCGTCGCCGAGAATTCCAATCTTGTGTACGAGGAGGAAGTTTATTCAGAAAGCGAAGTTGGAGATGCTTCACCAGATTCCCCTGTTCAGGCCGGTGATGATCAACCTGGCAATGAGCAGGTTGATAAGGCGGATATTATGGACGTCGAACAATCAGAGCTTTCCGTAAGTCACACCCCATACTTGAAACAAATGAGGCGAAAAGCATGAACGAATAACTTACTAATGCTCCAACACACAGTCCGATCATTCTACTCAAAATGAAGCCTCCGAGGAGCTTTAGACCCTCCCTTCCAACAAGCAGTCGCATTAGCTCGAGAGAAATCTATGCATCCTCGAACTTTCATTTTGGATTGAGCCTATTTCCGTGGGGCCAGCGGTTCGAGCAATCCAGGATCTTCGTTTATGGATATGGTCACTTCTCACAAGCTACGGATATGGAATTGATAGTTATTTCGGGGTCAATGGGAGGCATACTTTTTTCATAGGATACACATTGGCGCAATTGAGGATGTTTTGTTTTCTAATACAAGGAGCTCATGTACCCCAAATATATCCCAAATGCGGGGGATCTACCCTTAGCGGCACTACTAGTCTAGCAGTTCTACTAGCCATAAATAGAGTTTAAATCCACAACATTGACCCGGTTTCTCGACGGTGGCAAAGCATATATCAAATCATGACATAAGAATGATAAGATAATCCTCGAGAACCTCAAACATACCAACAAAAGATCAAAATGAAGTGAAATGACACGAAAATCCCCTACCAAAAATGAATCACAATCATAACCATGATTCCGAAGCTCTAATAGTTGCTCGTTATCACAAGAGAAATCCGGATCCAAATTCAACACTGATATGGACCGGGATCTTCGATCCTTCTTTCCGGGTGTTGATACTTCCTCGATATCTGGGTGTGCAGACGGCCATTGTACCTATTCCCTCTTCTCGACGCATAACGAGTTCAGAGTACGAACAGGAACAACAGAAACTGCGAGAACAGCAACAAGAAGAACAATCCAAAGAATCCGAATCCACAAATACTCTCTCGAGCTCGAGTCCCACACCAAGCATCCATAGTTCCTGTTCTTGTTCCTGTTCCTGCACCTCCGAATCCTCGCATTCCACACTTCGTACAAGTAGTTCTTCATCCGATTCCTCGTATACTTCCAGTTCTTCAACTACGATTTCCTCAACTACAAGTTCTACATATATCCATACCCACCCCCAAAATCCCAGCATAAACATCTCAGAAAAACAATCTCTCCATATCCCCCAAATTTCTCCGAAAAGTCTCGCAAGGCCGGATCATTTCTCAGAAATACAAGATACGCCGACCCGGACTTCGATGCCCAAACCCTCGCTGGATATGCTCTCAGATTCGAATACAGATTCGGATTGTGAGGATGATGATTATGAAGGTTTTGTTGATGAGGACAATGATTTTCAACCGGTAATAAAGGATAACGAAGAAGAAGATTCGGCAATATGTGATCTCATGGAAGGATTTCGCAAGATGAGTATATGAACTTTAAAGAAAGGGCTGGAGAGCTTTCGGGAGGGAAAGAGTTGTGGAATTAATCGTGGGGCATATTGGGTGCTGTTTGAGATATATTCAAAGAGTATACAAAGTCATGATTTGAGGATCTTTCTCTCAAAGATACTCGGCCGCTAGATTGCAGTATATCCAGACATTCTCTATACTACTGCTTATTGTGGAATACGCGAAGAAGACAAATCCACTCACTCTCCTAATATGGATTCCCAATCCCCGAATCCTCGCTCCTCGATATCAAAAACCTCTTCCCACATATACACACATATTCACAAATATACATAGTTTATCCCAGACACGAAGCAGAACAAACAATACGCGAGACGCATCGAAATGTCCCAGCCGGAAACCTACTTAACAACAACCTCCGCGGCGCAAAAACAAACAGCAAATAGCTTCGATATAATCTTACACATCTCAAGGGGAAAGCACTCCAGTACTTAAGGAGACAAAAACAAAGACGAGAAAAGGAGAGAAAGTGACGAGGACTCACTTCTCTACATATCTATAATACATCCTCTGTATATAAATAATCCTAGGGGGTATTAGTATACTGTATATTTATGTAATAGTACTATCCATACCTACCTACGTATAATAAATCATATTCATCGCAGTCGCCAAAAGAAGCACACACAAAAAATAAAAATAAATACAAACCGTCTTCTCTCTTCCCTCTCTCAATCTCAATCTCAATCTCAACCTCAACCTCCAAATCCCCCATTGCAAAAGAAGATCGCCACAGCCCAACAACCCAACCCAACCCTCAATATTAATATCAATCTCAATACCAACACCAATACCAATATCCATCTAGAAGTATATATAACATATAATATATAATATATAATACACATACACAAACAAACCCCACGCCTCAACCCCCACACACACAGAAAGAAGAATGAACCAACCAAGACAGACAGGCAGGCAGGGAACGAGACTGGGAAAGACATATCACGTATACCCCATCTATCACACACCACACACCACACACCTCATACCCATACCCATACCCATAAAATCATTCGCTTAAAAAAGAAAATTCGAATATCATCACTAGTAAACAATCATAATCAAAATCCCCAAGCATTTCTCTCCTAAAAACTTCAAGTGTAAATCCTCTCTTCAAATCTCCAAATCCCCAATCCCCAATTCTCATACCTCCCTCACCCCTCACCTCTCACCTCTTACCTCTCACCTCTCACCTCTCACCCCTCACCCCTCACCTCTCACCCCTCACCTCACCTCTCACCCCTCAAACCTCAAACCTCAAACCCCAATCCCCAATCCCCAATTCTCACACCTCAACATCCCAAACACCCCACACACCCCCCTACCCCCCCTACCCCTCCGTCCCACTCCCATCCAACAAGCAATCTATCAAAAAGCCGAGCGAGCGAGCGAGCAAGCTATGTAGTATAAAGCATTCAGTCCCCTTTCTAATTTCGACTCACGAGGTCATCTTTTTTTCATCTTGATTTCATTCTTATTCCTATTGCTGTTTCTATTCCTATTATTCCTATTTCTATTCCTATTTCTGTTTTGTATCCTTTAAGATTTATATATTTATATATATATATATATATATCTATATATACATCACTTCTTGAGTAGATACTATATCAATTCATTACACAAATGAAAGAAACCCTTTTAACATCAATCAAAAGCAATCAACTAAATCAAATCAAAATCTCAAAATATTATGAAAAAATTCACTCTATTCTTTCTACCCAAAAAAGAACAAGTTAAATACTAGGTACTCCACGCTATGCCCTTCTCCATACATGTCCTTGTATATCCATACCGATCCCATCCCATCCCATCCCATACCAGACCATACCATGCCTCCCTCCCTCCCATGAAAGATAATCCACATCCAAAAAAAAGAGAGGAAGGAGAAAAATTAAAAAATTCCGGCCCAATCCATGCTCACTCATCTAAACTCCTACAATATGCTAATATACACTTGCTATCAAAGGTATTTCATCGAAAATTCTCATCGCCACACTGTACTTCAACACCCAAGCTCCCTTCATTCATTTCCCATACCTCGTTTGGGTTCGTCTGCATTACATCCCGCATCCCTCTCGATTACAATTAAGTATACAGGAATGTTGAAATTCCATGTTCTTCTATTATCGCCGTGATGAAGATCTAGACCTTCCAATCGTCGAAATTTTCTTCCTTCCAAGCAAGATTTTTGAGTCCCGTAATGACTTCGGCATCGGTGTCAATTTTCTCGGGTTGAGGGGTGAGTTGATCATCTAGTCTGACACCGCCCCCTTCTAGCGCTGAGTCCTCTTCGTAATCGTCATCTTCAATTGCGTTGTCGTAGTATTCCTGATCCTGACCTTCTCCCTCTAACAGCATACTTCTTCCCAAACCATCATCACCCTCTATTGACTCCATCAAGAGACTTTCATCTAGACCTTCCTCGTAGTAATTGTCTTCGTCTAAAGAATCGCGAGAGATGTAACTATCACCCAAATGTTCGTTGTCTTCTTCCTCCTCGTCGTCTTCCTCTTCCTCCTCATCTTCTCTTTCTTTAAGATCCTTTTCATCACTCTCAGACCCACTGAAGTCGTCAAGTTCAAGGACAGGTTCTCGCCAATATGTGAAATCAGTGTATTCCTCACCTCCGCTAGTGATGAGGGTATTTACGGGTGGAAAGTAATGATCCACAACCTCTCGCATATTCACATAGCTGTATCGTAATTTGTTGAGACTGAGCAAATCTAACGATACTTCTGCATAACTGTTGATTGTGAAAATACGGTTGCTTGGAATACTGACGGAGCGGTATGATAATGCATCAGTGAGCCTGTTACCGAAACCTGCATAGAATGGTGTGCGATTGGGGCCGAACAGGTTCTTGATATCTCTTAGACAAGCCATTTTAAAGACTTCTGGCTTTCTAATATAAACTTCTCGTCTCAAAGCTGCAAGTGTTCTATCAGGACTCAAGATGGTTGGACCTTTCGGTAAGCGATAATTCTCCTGTACCACACCATTGAGGTAGGCTCTGGTAGTATCGGCTTGACCTACCGATCGAGAGGTCAAATACATGATATTGTAACCATTGTTAATGATCTCCGTGTAGAGTTTGGCAACTCCGATATGAGTCCAATCTCTTCCGATGTAATTCAAAACATGACCTAAAGCATCTGATTTTGTGATGGTACCATCGATATCGGAAATTACAATAGGAACATCATATCTCCAGAGATACATGTTTGCCTGACAAGTTGCTCGGTTGACAGTAAAGCTCACAGGATTTGGGCCAGACTTGAGGCCGAGAGCTTTTAATTGATCGCTAGTCAACCGCAAAGTTTTGGCATAGTTTCGATTTGGATCACCGGCAGTTCCAGTGGGTGTCTTGGGTGGTGTTTGCATTCCCAATGACTCCGAACCGGCACGTCGGTGCGTTGGAACGATCGGTGGGTGTAGAATGTCACTATCTGTTTCGCTACTGTATCCTAAATCCGAAGAAGTATCGGTCGTCAATCCAGAAGCATTAATGCCTGCCATTGCCGCCCTCTGACTTGCAGCTTCTTTTGCCTCTTCACTACTGTAAATCCAAAGGTTTCCGTTCTCATCCGCACCAATGAGAGCACCAATATCATAATTGCCTTCCAATTCTTCTGACAAAACCTTTCGCGCAATAACCTCTGCCCGAAGAGCATCATCGTCACTACTTTTGTAGCCCGTCATATCCAACATCAAGTCACCGGTTTCGGTAACCTGACTTGGGATGTTTGAGGCTTGAAGACGATTCGACAATGCCATCGCCCTTTCTATTGCTTCGCGTGTTGGCAGAGGTGGAGGGCTGTGCGATCTTTCAGTGAAAACATCCGATTGTCCATCGACAGCTGCAACAGTGGGTGTCATGGATCGTGTTTGTCTATCTCGTTCCGTCAAATCGCTAATGTTTGTGCGAGCCGAGGATGACAAGAATTCGTCTGTATGGCTACGTTGAACTCCAGAATAGTCTCCAGCAAGGGTTCTATCAATTGCCTGCTCTGAAGATATCGACGGTGGCGTCAAAGCACCTATTCTAGTCAGTAAAGAACATCTGAAAATGATCTTGGCCGCTTACTGAGATTACTTTGCCTCCTAGGATATGGGCCTTCCGCAGATTTTGTAAAACTGTCTGATCTTAAACTTTTATGGCCCATATCTAATGCTAGGAAGTCAGGTTCCGACAAACTTGCTGGGTGCGCACCCGATGCTGGTAATGGTGGACTGGAGACGGGCGAAACGAGAGGTGAGGTCTGCATAGCTTCGGGAATAGTATCACTGGTCTCGAAAACAAAGAATGCCTCTCCCCCTTCTCCCAACTTCATGGCGTAATCTTGTTTGACATCGTTGACTCTAAATTCGACCTTCTTCTCGTATGGGCGAAGGAGAGAGAACTTCCCGAAGCGAACGTGAAATGGTGAACATGCCAATGATCCATCTTCTTGTTCAACGACTATAACATCGATGGCTCCGCTGAGAGTGGCTGGATTTATCGAATTCCAGGTTTTCGAAACCGAACCGCTGATACTTCGCACGTATTGCATTGTCGATGTAATGTTATAAAGAAAGGTATGTGTTTGTTGGGATGTGGTGTCGTACGGAGGCGGATGTCACCAACGAAGATTTGTCGATGCGCCCCGATTAGTGAAGTGTTGAGAAGTTAATAGCGGAACTTGTAAGAATTATACGTCGATTAGGTCATGCGTCTATTTCTTTAAACTTTGCGACTGATCAAGTGGGGTTAATCCTAGATTGAATGTTTGTTGAATGGAGACGGTGGTATATTATGTAAAAAAGGTGCGTAGAGTGAGATGGTTGAATGAAACCTTTGGCTTGGAAGGAGGTCGTATTGTTCTATTGTATTATATATACCTAGGCAAAGCTTCTACATCGGCTGAGACTTTGGGGGGTCAAAAAGGGAGTATGGATAACGAGTGAATGTGATAGAAAAACGAGAGATGTGAGAATATGGAAGCAAGAAAGAATCTTATGATATTGTAAATTTGTGCTTCAGTCCGGGAAGGGAAGCAAGTGAGGGAAGGAAAGGGAAAAGTGTTGATGTTGCTGCGGATGTTGAGGGTAAGAATATGAAGGGTTGGGAATGGGAATGCGACAAAAAGCAATAGGTGACGACACGGAGAAAATGGATTAAGCTCAAATAGGATGGAAATCCGGTGAAACCCCTGCCAATAAGGAGAAGTCAGAATTCCCAAAGATTCTAGTCATGCAGTTCCAAACTCAATGCACCTAATAAATACGGAGGATAGGTAAGGAGGAGGATCGAAGCACCCAATTTCTATTTTCGAGCCGGCCGTGAACCGAGAGACATACAACATGCATGCCTGGGAATATGAATACATATACGGGGTACATGTAGATATAGTACAGTACATGTAGATACATATAAAGATGTATACTAGGGACACAGATATATAACTGATATAGATATACAACTTATGTAGACAAATACATCATCTGTATATCAGATATCGTCTCCGAATATTGACTTGACCATGGATTAGATGAGTTGACATGAGCTGACATGAGATCAATGGGCGATGAAGCACCAAGGCCTCGGCATAGAAGATTTACTGGGGATACTCCGGACTGGCAGAAAGTTATCGTGTGAATGTGTGATGAATGTGTGATGAATGTGTGATGAATGTGTGATAGATTCTCGATGCATTTGAAGGTGGAGTAGAGCACAACACATGTGACAGGAGAATTCCATACCAGGTAAAGTTTCCAAGATTGATTGCCCAATGATCCATTCCTACTTTGGGAATGATGGGTTTGATTGCGGTCGAATGAAAAAGAAAGTCCTGCCCTGAGCATCCTGAGAATACTTTGGGAGAAGACTTTTCTCGTATTAGTTCATTTGGTGGTAAAGGGACCTAGGTAAATGAATGTGTACGGAGTAGAATGTGATGCCGAATTTATGGATCGATGCCGATATCTGGAAATGTTGAGATTGTGTCACATGTGAAAGGAGAGGGGGGGGAAGAGGAGAGGGGGGTTTTCATAAATGATAATTACCAGGTAGGTGAGTGGAAGGAAGGAAGGAAGGATTCAAGAAGGAAGCGTTTATATGGAGGAGGAGTATCCGTATATACTATGTATATACCTAGGTAGGTAGTAATAGTAGAGATGGTATTGTATTATTTGATCAATTAGATTGATTAGATTGATTAGATATCTAATAGAAAAATACCAAACAGGAAATAGAAGATATATATATATATATATATATATATAAATACTAGTTTACCTACTAGGTAGATACCTAGGTATCAGATAGGAATGTCTTTTCTATCTTTATTCATTTTTGATTACAGAGTAGAGTCAATAATCTAACGTCTTACTTATTACTATCATAGAATATACCGACCTAATAGATAATTACTCCATACAATACTGATTGACACTCTCACTAATGGCATCAAATGCTCAGTGCTCACTCATACCATACCGTGCAAAGTCCCGAGGACCAATGTATCTGAAGGGGGATGTGAGGACTTTATAATAAGATATCTTCTTGGCATTGTGTCCGGTCATCTCGAATCATTTCCTCATTCCATTCAGACTTCACTTTTCCTTCACTTGGATTCCCATCATTTTCATATCTCCTGGGTAAATACCACGTACTGTTTGGAGTGATGTTTTAAGTACCAAGTGATGTTTGAATCACATTGATCCATCTCCGTCGGTCACTTGGTAGGTCCTTCAAACATACCCCGCATTGAGTGGTTTTCCTCGTAGGTGGTGCAAAAGACTTTCCAGTCTCTCGTTGTATTCCTTCTACCACGGAAAGGTATGATGGATAATTGCATTGCTTGGATCCGAACCAGATTGAAGCATTTTCTACGAGAGGAATGTTACATAAGTACCTAGGTAGGTGCTGGTGGTAGGTAGTAGGTAGTTTATTACACGTGATTAGCATTTGATATTTGATGTTCACAGAGTCATTACCTCGTACCTACCTAGGTACCTATCCAGTATCATTTATTCAATCTTCTCTCTTACAGCCTTGTTTTATCAACATTTCAATTAGTTTATATAATTGCTCATACAATTGTGTATAGATATCTTGGTAGGTAGACACAGAAGTGGTGGATTCATGTGACTTTGAAACCACATCTATGGTTTTTTGATCCTTTCTTCCTTCTCTCTTCTTTCTTCTTTCTTTCAAATCGTATCCAGAGTGCGCGTAGAACGACGGTAGAAAATTCCCCGGAGCTATCATGACTGAGTTTTTCTTACTCGGTACTATCGACATACTAGTCAGTGCCTCCCCGTGCTACCTACCTAGGTACAGACTTAAATCCCATAGAGCTGACGGCCCGAGCCCAGGCCGTTCAAGATGTTAGCCAGGAGCCAGGATAGTTAGAATGGCCAGGATGATAATAGCCTCAAGAGTCAAGACTCAAGACTCACCTGAGAGTCAAGATCCGTTTCGGTAGTGAAAAGTATCTCTTGCTCCATGCAATCTGATTGGTCATATCTGTACCACGAGAGTCATTACTAATCATGCTTATACCAAGTTGTAAATGATATCATTGGCTACACGATGGCAATGTAAAGATGGAAAATTGTAAATCTTTATGCATAATTGCCTGATATCTGTGGAAACGACTTAAACCGTGGACCGTTGTAAAAAAAAAAGCCAAAAGAAAGCTGCGTGTAGGTGAATGGAGCGAGTGCCATCGCGAAATTGTACCACATATTGATTCCAATACTCTCTTTCTCTTGCAACCTTCACCACCACCTTTCCCCTCGCCACAATTTCTTGACCTTCTCTTTTCCCCCGCCGTCTTTAGTTCTCAACAACCTCTTTCCTGAGTGTTTTGAGATCTATTCGGATTCGATTCTGTATGAACGCTGTCGACTACTACACCAGCTTGATTGACTGGGTATTTAGTCATGCAAGAGTGCTCCACGAATACATGTTTTTAATTCAGTCGATAGTGACTTGTACGGCCCTATTCTGGTTTGTCGCACATCACTCAATCGAACGGCAGAAACAAGCCTTGCTAACATATTACGCTAAAGGCTGCTGAGGAGGGCGTGGGAGGTTCTTTGGACCCCTCTACCACGACTTATTAGCATTTTAGGTGTCGAAGTCCCCGACCCGCCAGAGGTTTCTCTTGCCTGCATTAAATCAGATGCGTTGACATTACATTGGTCATCATCGCCACCGAACAAAGGTGTGGTGCGGTACATCATCCAAGTAAATGGCGTCGATGGTGAGTTCTCTACAGTGCACCGTACCTTGAGTACCCCAGTCGCGCTAACATTCTACCATTAGTGGGTGAATCTTCCCAAGGAGAAACAGTCATTATCGAAGGACTCAAGCCTGGTAATTTTTACAATGTGAGGGTTATTGCGGTTGGTACGCAGAATTTTCAGGCTGGGAGTAGAGTTATACGGTTGAGAACTTTGGGTCGAGATGGACTCCCACGCCATGGAGTCATAAGGAATGAAGCCGATCTGTCGAATGAAGATCAACATGATGCTGGCGGAGAAAGTTTACCCACGGTTCGAGCCCACGGAGTCTCAGCCGACGGCACCAATCCTCCTGCAGCCACGGTTCAGGTTGTCGTACGAGAATCGAGCGTTTCACATCCTAGCCAGAGAAGAAATACCGTAGGTAGAAAACACTCACAATCAACAGCTACCGCCACCGCGGAGAACTGGTCCGCCTCGAATGCTCAACCTTTGGATGAGAGCCGAGAGACGATACAAGAGTTGCAGGAACAACAAGATAGGATCCAGAAGGAGCTCGAAGATGTGATTGCACAAGGTCTGAAGGAATCTGAGGAGATCAAAAATCAAATCCTTCTTTTATCCGAAGATAAAGATAAAAAGACAGAAATGGTCAAGGACAAGGAGGAAGCGAGCGAGACGTTGAGAAAAGAGGTCAAGAACCTGGAGGTCAAGAATCGACAAGCACAATCGCGGAAGACGGCGTTACAAAAGAGTTTACAGGCCAAGCAGGTGGAGAGAAAGAAGATGCAAGATGAACAAGCACGCTGGAAGAAGGAAATAAAGTCAATGGGCGCTGAAATGGAGTCCTGGAGTCGCGAGGCAGAGGAGATACGTACGTCTACAGAGGCAAAATGCGAGGAGCTTCGTGAGAATATTCGAAACGTTCAAGATTTGATTGCAAAATTTACGCGTGAAGTCGCGGAGAAAGGGTTATTGGTCAAGAGCCTAGAAGAGGAAAGGGAGGGTCTTGGAATTGGGCTGGATGACGATCAAGCCGTGAGTGGAGGCTTTAGAAAGGAGAAATGATGCTCAGTGGGAGGCAGAAAGCAGAACGCAACACGCTATTGCGCAAGACTACAGTCAACGCCTGGAGCGACTTGAGAACGAACTACAAGCGGCACAGGCCAATTTCACAGCGCTTTATGCCCGGTTACCAAGCAATCCAAGCGATCTCATGAATCACGCAAATTCCTCTGGAGTTGATTTCGATCCGAATGGACAACACGGCAGAGCCAAATCTCGAAGACAACGCACTCGCAAGAGCCGCACGAATACGGTGTCATCTACTTCTGGCTATGCAATGGCCGAGTCCCAATATTCAAGTACTGGTATATTCAACAACTTCAACTTAATGAGCTCACCCGCTTATGCGGCAGCTCCATATCTGAATCTAGCTATGAGTAATGATACTACGATGGCTTCGGCTTCGGGTCAATCGGGAGGGATGAGCGAAGCTGATATTCAATCGCTCACGGCCGGGGCACCGCTCAGTCCGACAGCAACCATGCTATTACCTTCAACTCTTTTCAATGACGATGAGCTTCAAGGTGCTGATGAGGAAGGCCCTGAATATATGTCAGAGTTGCATCATTCATATAGTCCGCCACAACGACATAATGATACACAATCTCCAGGGTCTAGTCGCTCTGCTAGTCTAATGTCTAGTCCTCACGCGTCATCGCAAAATCTTGCAAAATATGGCGTTACACACCATGATTATGCTCTCGATGCTGATCGTAGTTCGCTAGGCTCACCCTCGTCAAAGTTTGGAGTAATTGGATCACCAGCACGAGCCGGTCAATCAACATCTCACAGGAATTTTGGCAGCATGTTTACTTCTCTTCGAAAGTCTGAGAAGGCCCCTCAAGATGGACTCCCTCTTGGTAGTTTGAAAGGCCAGAGCCATTCATTCCCACGTTCCACTGATGAACCGGAGACTTCCAATAGGGCTCGTCGTATAAGCTTCTCATCCGGTTGGGGGAATGTCTTTCAACGAAGCGCTACAGTTGGTGACTCTTCTGAGGGCAATGCACCTGCTCCAGCTCGTCCAAATGGTCGGAGACAACTTGGGTTTAGTATGTTTGGCTTTAGAAATGAAGATACAAACCATCTACGTTCCGCTCGTGACCCTAGTAGCCCTCGCCCGACGTCTATTGCCTCTTCTGATCTGCCACGCCCATCAACGGATAGTGCACCATTCGGGTGGGGGCCAGGAGCTGATGGGACCGTAAACAAAAGCCCACTTGTTACCGATTGGTCTGTGTCCGCCCCACCAACTTGGTCCAGCAATCCATCGAGAAGGCCTAGTTTCCAACATGGTTCCTCTAGTGCACTGGCTTCTGAGATTTTGAGCGGATCAGACGAATACTTCTATGAAGATAACATTCACTCAAGTCCACCTCCAAATCTGGGGGCCATTGGCACGCGGCCCCCTTCGTCGCACAATTCAGTTTTACCTAAGCTCAACCCTAACGCGCCAAAATTCGAACTCCCTCAAACCAGTGAGCCTGTCTTTTCTCGTCTTCTGAGAAGTAAAGGTAAAGGTAAGGCTCCAGATCAGAACACCGAATCCTTTGACCCTACCTATGATACACCTCACCCCATTACCTCTTCTCCATCTGAATCGAGAAGGTCCCGAGACTCGCCATCTATCCACACGCAAAATAGTGTGGCCGAATCAATAGATAGCTTGGATAGGACCAAAAGTAACACAGCATCTGATATTGCAGGAAGCGCGAAAGGAGAATCATCCTTCACAAAGCTCCTCCGTAAAGGTAGTTCGAGTAAATTCAGCTTAGGAGGCAAAGATTCGATTTTTGGGAGGAAAAAGGGAGGAAGTAGTACGGCTGCTTCGGATCACAATGATAGGGATGAAGGGTTGGATGACCTTGGTGATTCTTTGCTCATTGGAACTGGGGGAGAAAGTGCAACTAGTAGTCCAAGGATCGGCGGATTTGAAGGAAGTGATGGGAAAGCAAAAGGTGCGACTAGAGAAAGAAAGAGCTCGACGTGGGGAAGATTCCAAAGGAAGAAGAGAGAAAGTTCGGAAATAGAGAGGAGTGAGAGAAGTGAAGCGGAGACGACAGGTACGGAAGATGAGCATGAGTGAGCATGCGCAATCGACTTAATTTCCTCAAGCGAGTGGGAATGCAGGGGTTGAGCATCGGGGGAAAGAGAGGGAGTTTATGAATGATATGATTTTCATCATACATACATACATACTCGCATACTCGTATGCTCACATACTAGGATATCTTAGCTGTGAGATATACGCAGCATCTGCAAAGCATTTGTTGATTTGTTGACTGGAAATCGTTAGCGTTGCATGCATACCTATATAGTAAAAACAAATTTTTTGATTTACATATAACACTCGAGTTTTTGCTGGCCATGTGATTGTCTGTTTGTGTTTTTTTCTCGGGTGCTTGTTTTTCAGATGTGTGGATGGGTAAGGTGAGGATGAGTATTGTATGCGTATGTTTATCAGAGAGTGTAGAGTGTAGGTGAGCTTTATTCTTCCATTCATTCATCTGTGTAGATAGTGGTAGTAGTAGTAGTAGTAGTAGTAGTAGTAGTAGTAGTAGTAGTAGTAGTAGTAGTAGTAGTAGTAGTAGTAGTAGTAGTAGTAGTAGTAGTAGTAGTAGTAGTAGTAGTAGTAGTAGTAGTAGTAGTAGTAGTAGTAGTAGTAGTAGTAGTAGTAAATTCTTACTCGATTTAGTTTATCTATAGCTTACTTGTGCTGCTATGCCGATTATGCGATATGATGCGATGTGTATATGTGTGTATGTGTATGTGTATGTGTATGTGTATGTGTATGTGTATGTGTATGTGTATGTGTATGTGTATGTGTATGTGTATGTGTATGTGTATGTGTATGTGTATGTGTATGTGTATGTGTATGTGTATGTGTATGTGTATATATAGTATTTATCTATTTAGGTGTATAAAGGGATTTCGGTAGGAATGAAGGGAGAGGAAGAAGGGAAGGAAAATTGTGTATTATGTGTATATTTGCGCCTGGATTGCGAAGTTGGGAGAGATCTATAGAGTGAGGGGTATGAGGAGTATGAGGAGTATGAGGAGGTATAATATTAAAAGAATTGATTATTCTTTAAAGTTTTTTTAATTGCTTGGGTTTTGATGAGTAGTAGATAGGAGAAGTATTGCAAAATGTATTTATCGAACCCTTGAGTTTGAATCCCGTTTAATATAGCTAATCTGTAAGTATATAAAGATTTGTGAGATATAATCCATATACATACATACATACATACATACCTCAATACCTCAATACCTCAATACCTCAATACATACATACCCCAAATCCCCTCTCCATCTTCTCAGCGAACCAACAGAAAAACAGAGATCAGGGAAGAACGATCAACAATCAAACCCGTATATTTCGCAAGGCAAGTACATCTATCCAGTGCAACTCTGCTTACAGAACAACCAGTCATAATCATAATCATAATCATAGTAATAATAACTTTCCCTCCTTCCTACCTCGACCTCTACCTCCATATTCTATCTCCTGAACTTTTATCTTCACTTCATTTTGAATTCCGTTCCCAATGAATAAATAAATAAATAAACAAACAACCAGAAATACTCCATCGCATCTACACATTTTATCAAACCTTTTGGAAGCATACCAGTCCACCGAAACAGCGCTACACATACCTACCCAGACAATCATATACCCATTCCCATACCCATACCCATTCCCATTCCCATTCCCATCCCCATCCACAACAGCATCCCACATGGGCCAAGAACTTGTAAGCGCTCCCCTCCCCAACATACATCAGCATAATCCCTCCCCTCCTCTCCCCTTCTTATTCAAACAAAAATACTAATCAACTCAAGGAAAAAGTCGAAACAGAATTGTCCTCTCTCTCTCTTCTCGGCGTGTCGAAATCTCTTTGCGGATTTAGGATGTTTACCTATAAGACAAGATACTGGAGGGGTGGGAAGTCCAATTCCTATGACTTCGATTCCAGATACAACAGGGATAAGAAGTCCAATTTCCATGACCTCGATTTCAGATGTCGAAGGGATAGGAAGTCCAATTCCTATGACTTCGATTCCAGATACAACAGGGATAAGAAGTCCAATTCCCATGACCTCGATTCCAGATATACCAGACACAAGAAATACAGCTCCAACAACATCGATTCCAGATGTAACCGAGATCCGAGATGCAGCTCCCATCGAACACAACGACACCAATACTTTGAACGAGAAAAGTCAAGCAGAAGGCAATACCAATCAATTTGAAGGTCTCTGCCTCACTCAGCGATTGAGATTGATCGAGCAGAGAGGTGTCCAGCTTGAAGCCTCGCATGATAGTAGGGTGTCTATTACTTCATGTTCGTTACCTCCATTACCCTCAGAAAACTTCCCCATCACTTTTCCCCTTACAGTTTCCAATCTAGTTCCCACTACATTTCCCACTACAGTGGATACTACAGTGAACACTGCAGTGAACACTGAAGTTCCCATTGAAGTTCTCACTACAGATCCCACTACAGTTCCTACTACAGTGAACACTGATGTTCCAATTACAGTGGATACTACAATTCCCCTTACAGTAGAAACTACAGTGGACACTACAGTAGACGAATCCAACCTTTCACCGTCCGACGACAAGCAACCTTTTCTTTCCATTACAGTGGAAACTACTACAGTAGAAACTACAGTGGACACTACAGTAGACGAACTCAACCTTCCAGCAACCGACGACGAGCAACCATCTTTCCCCTACACAATATATGACTTTACCAAATCCGGCTTAGTGGTATCCGAAATCAGTGGGATCAATGTAAGGGAGCAATATCATCAAATCATGGAGATCGTCGGCCAAGCTTGTGGCATATGCCCAAAGTGTACGAGTGACAATCGTGCTCAGTATTTGATTGATACGATCATTGAAATGCGATTCCCGGACTTGGATAGCGCCCTCTTTCGGGATGGGATTCTGAGTGAATTTGGATTCGACGACTACTGGAATGAGCTCATAGTAGCCAAGCCCGAGGTCAGGAAAGGGTATGTGAAGTATGAAAATTGGTACGCAAAGGTATGGGAAGATATTGAAGCGAATAACGAACTGCCAGCTATTTCAAAGGCTATCGAAAAAGAGTTTGCTCAATCTCGAGATTTTAGACGGATCTTGGCAGGTAAACAATACCCGAAATGTAAATGGAGAAAGAGGGGATTACTTCTTTTCGTGATGAGAATGCGGAGAATTCGAGGAAAGCTAGAGGAACGCCCCCAGACGCAAGAAAAACAAGAAACGCAGACGATAGAAACCAGTGCAAACAAGAACCGCAAGACTAGAGACAAGGAGAAGAGGAGGAAAGTCAGGGACCGAGAAGATAAGGTCGCGGCCAAATTGCTGTATGATACATTTGAAGAGTTAAAAAGGGTGACGGCTGAAACAAATGCATGTAATTATATAACGGCGCGCCGAGAGAACAAGCCTTTTGCAAAAATTTGCCCTGCTGAAGTTGTTTATTCGGTGTGGGAAGAGGAATTAGTATTCCTACTATTTATCAACATTCAGAAATTTGTTTTATTGGTGAAGTTGAACTAGGACCCGACGGAAATACGTTGTAAGAGAATTGGTAACATACATCAAGGGTTGAGCCAAGGTACTGCAGAAATATTGGCATGAACTTGAAAACAGATTCTGGGGCAAGACAAAAGCTAGTTAATTCATGCATAGCATCATTCTACCATCGATTGTACATAAAAATAGCAATTCACTGTCACCTCCGGTGGACCCACTTCATCAAGAGTGGTTGACAGCGAGGATATATATAATCATTTCAGCGTCTATCAGTATGTTCGTATGGTGATCAAGACGAATCGCTAGAGAAATATGACGAACCGCAAGCTAGCTCAAGTATCAGATGAGATCTAGTAGATGCCCAATATTCAGACGAAAAATGTAGTGAAGGAAAACGATGTCAGAAACGATGATCTAAAAATGGCTGTGGTGATAGGTAACTAGAGTCGATAGGTAACTGTTCCTCCTCAATGTATTGTACCAGATTTATAGTTAACAGACACCGAGAAATCAAGACAGCAAAAGAATGCATCATGTTAAGTGTATCGTGTGTGGCCTACAAGAAAGCTCTAAGGGCACAGTGCGTGCCCCTCTATGGAAATAATCCACGTACAAGGAAACACGTAGCGTGGATAATAAAGACTGCAAGCAACGTGTCGTGTGCTGGAATACTCAGCACTCGACTTCAACATTCGCTTTTCTTTGCAAAAAGCAAATTTGTTAAGACGTGTTCAAATTTTTTGTTCTTGATGAAACGGTGTTGTTACATGATAATTCTTTCGCGATGGCTTGAATGGTTGTATGGTGGTGTTGATCAGATATAGTGGTGGTTGCAACAAGACTCAGGATACAAATGGAAAGGCATATTTATGTAGATGCGCTTCTTGCGCTTCTTCTGGTGTGATGAAACACCCCCTTTCGTAATTATAAGCGCCAGGGTCTTCAATGCAAACGGAATACAATCAATATCACTGCTGCAGTTCCTAGAATAGCAGTAGGATTTTAAGTTTTTCATTGCAACCACAAGCTCAAATCTGTTGAAGAAAAAAAATCCGTTCGACAAGACCAAAAGTCTACAGGTTCTTCAAACCTCATTGAGACCGCGCGATTGGTTTCAACATCTTGTATAATATGATGAAGTTGCAATTGTCCCTTCTCTAGCTCAAACCGGCCTCGTCCCCGGAAGACAGCGTAGGCAGAGAGAGAATGCATATATAGTAAAGGTAAATCAATAATCTGATAAGGCGTATCAAAAGAACAGATCAATTCCACAAACTTCGACGTGTACAACAATTTAAACTATTCAAAACGCCTACAAACAGAACTTGCTGCTGTGTTGTGCAATGGTATGTTCAGTGGGGGTTCCATGAAACAGTTTATCAATGGTCATTCTGACATCGAATAGGCTCTAAGCTCAAGGAGAAAAACTATTCATTGACTTCAATGAATACAAATAACAACACTCTTGTTGGCGCCTTGTCCCATGATGATGTGAGTCAGATAGTTTTTGGTACCATAGCCACGGTAGTAGGAGTTTTTAGTGTAGTGTTGGCATGGGTGGCATGGAAATCGCATAGGGCGCAGACTGGGCGGAATTCTTTCAACGAAGGTATGGTTTTGCCATTAACTTGACGAAATTTTGTAGAGTTATGCTGACGTATTTGACAGCTCCATCTTCTGACACATTCGAGCTTCGCCTGGTGGTCACAAATACAAACAACATAACATAGGCTGGAAAAAAATCGTTCATGGGTAGCGGATCGGTATTATTTGACTCAGGTTAGTCAAGCTTTTGACAGAAGATATGAAAAATCTTGTCGACTTGGGAAGAAGCGTGTTTATGGATATACTCGGAGATATAGAAGAGTCATGTAATCAAGATCCTTACTTACTTAACCGCAGACAATACAAATTTGTGACTAATAGTACGAGTGAGACATCGACTAGAACCAGCTCGATGGAATAAATTTACTTTTGACAGATCGTTTTTCCTAAATTGTCAAACCACTTGTGCACCCTTCTGAAGTAAAAGTATTTTCTCACAACCCGAACAGGCTTTTGCCTTCCGTAATGCCCACAGGAAGGGGCACGTTGGTAACAACATTACCAATCTTTGCTTTGATTTCCTCTGTCTTTATTTGAATTTGCTTTACTTTCATCAATTCGTTGGCTGTCAATCGCTCAGTAGCTTCAATCAGTTCTTGGTCTGGAGGCAATAGCGTCCACGCAATGCTAATGTGAAATGCGTCTGATAAATCGGCCATATCATTGAAAACATCCTTTTTTTGCTGTGTCTTGCCTCTGAAAGGCTTTCTGTGTTGAGAGTGGTGAGCACCCTTTGCTACTTGTTGACCATTTACACTTGTTCTAGAATTTGCGTACAGGGGCGGCTGTCCAAACTCTTCCACGACTTTATTACTCACGTGAAGTAATTTGTTCAAGGCATTGCTTTCCGGTGTATTGACGCGGAGAACCAAAAACCATCGAGTTTTTTCATAGTTAGGAACCCACGCTAAACCGGAGAAGCGCATCTCAAAACTTAAAATTTGTTAGTCACGTGTAACCCCTAATTCAAACGGACAATGGACTTACGGACGAACTCCGGAAGACTTTATGACTTGTTCGAATGAAGTAAGGAAGATATCTTTGACATCTTTGGAAAAGCCAATGGCTCGTGAAAGACTGACATGTAAGGGAAGAGGAACCCCAAGATCATTTGACAAAAACGTTTGAATGTCGTGGGTTTTGAACGACTCATCAACTTTTGAGATCAAGGATGATATAAGATCAAATTCTGCAGTCGAAGGATACCCTCGATTGAATTAGCGAAACGAGCTTGACAAGAAGGTTAAACCAAGGCATTCATCGGTACTCACACTCAATATAAATATGTGTTGGCCAATTGCCCTCGATATGAGGAGTCACTCTTTTTCTTCCTCCGTGTAAGCTTGGATCATCTCTTGTACTGTTCCTCACGGTTGAGGCATAAAGATCATGAAATTTGGAGGGTAGTGGAGGTAATTCTGACGAGGATGAAGAAATGTCTCGCTTTCGCTTTAAATTAATTGAATTCGAAGTTTTTGTGGTGACATTCTTTTCATCATCTGCACTGTTGTGTTGATTGACTTTATTGACTTTATTGACATGAGGAAGGTCTTCGTCTACCACATTTTCCTCGTCGGACGACATGTAATCGACCAGGGCCATGATATGATGATGAATTTAAACTTTGACAGCCTTTCTTGGCTGAAGTATGTATGATCCGACAGTTGCACTAAGAAGCAACCAAAGTAAGACTTGAACCCAATTGACACGTGCTGGGGTTCATTTGGAGTCAAGTTGGATTATTAACTTTCTTCGTACCTACTCGTATACGATAAAGGGTTGTACCCGGCCGGGCTTCCCGTAATTCATCAACGTCTACTCCGTACTCACTCAAGAGTTAAAGGGCCCAACGTGAAATGTGAATTTGGGTGCAGACAAATGAAACAAATGAATCCTCATCAATCAAATCATTCCCCAGATCCTAGTGTCAAGCAGAAGGTAAAATCTTTTCGAGTTCGACCAAGGGAGTTGGTATTCGTGGCAGTGCGACTGTTCAAAGGGCTCGATGCTGGACAAGGTGCTGGACAGGATGCTGGACAAGTGAAAAGTCTAGAACCGACTTTGACCCATTAATTAGACGTCAGCGTACGGAGTCTATTGAGGCTTTGCGGAGTTGCAAGTTGGTGTTTTGTGAATCTTTGGAGAATAAATGAAATGATCAATTGATAAAATGATCTGCTGTTGGAAGTGGATCGGGAAGTGCCTGACTAATCCATTTTTGGGTCGACTTGCTGCAGTGTTGAAGTGTGATTGGAGTGATGGAAGTGATAGAAGTGAAGTTTGTTTGGGTTGGGAGAGAAGCATCCATCCAGTGGCATCCATTCAATGGCATCCATTCAATGGCATCCACCAATCTATCAAACACTCGTCCTAGGGTGACCATCACTCGGCCTTATCTAGCGTTATCAAATTACATCATTGGGGCCAAGGATACCCTGAAATATTGCGTACCTCTCTTCTCTCTAGCCAGCCAGCAACGAGTACGAACGATGGCACGATGAGGACCGGTACCAGGTAGGTAGGTACCATATCTTTTTATCTTTTTATCTTTTTATCTTTCTTTCTTTCTTTCTTTTTCTTCTTCTTGCTCTTCGTTGCTTAGCGCATCCGGCCTTCCCTTCGATTTCTAATTATACCTTGATCCCTTGAATTGTTGTATACCTTGCTAGCAGTGAGCTAATGACCTACTTTACCTACTACCCGATCACCTAGTACTCGACCAAATAGTACTTGATACTTTTCCTCAAATAGAAACAACCCTTCTACTTCTTCTCTTCTTCTCTTCTCTTCCCTTCTCTTACACCATCTAATAATCTCACCCGAGAAGAAATCTCCTGTTGTGTCTTCACTACTTCACTACTAACAAGAAAAATCACCTGGTGATTAATAAACATTCTATTCACGGCTCACTCGGGATCTCACCAGTATCAAACATCACACCACATTTGGTGCTTAATTATCTTCAAAATGGAGAGCTCAAGTGATAAATGGGTATGTTAAGACTCTCCATCTGTATCTTGATCAATCAATCGATCAATCAATCAATCAATTCACATTCACATATACAAAGCTCTCCATCCATTAAACTCGCAATATCAATCACAACCTACATCACAATCATAATGACCACTAATAACCATTTCTCCATCCAGGCTCAACAATATCTAATCGATCCTCTTAATGCTCCTCAGCCGAGCGAAGAAACAGGTCCCGGAAGCCATTTCAAATCTTCCATTCCACACACCCAATCTAGCAGTTTCGGGCGAAACAATTCCACCAAGAAAACCGCCCAATCAACCGTGTCATCCTACCCAACACCTCCCTCCTCAGCTAGTCCCACCAAATCGTCCTTCAGCTCCAATAATCCCTATTCATCTCATCGCCAATCGGCTTTTGGCGGCTACTCCAAATCCAACAGT